TATTATAATATATTACTTCTGTATTATTATATTTGTTGTTTCAGACCTAACATCTATCACAGGTACATTTATTATTATTTTTTTGAAGTTTTTCTTCATAACCAGAATGTTAATAAAAGTACGAAGGAACTTATGTATAGATGCTTGACTCAAATCTTTCACGATGATGAACACATTGAAAAAAACTTCTGGAAATTACTTGAGAACCCGTAAGAATCCCCATGAAAGAAGGGACCCCATAGTAGATTAGCATCTTCCCAGAGCGGTAGGTCCATGGGAATCATCTATATCACTTCAAAATGGATTATCTCTCTCCCTCTCTTTCGCGCGCTCTCTCTCTCTGTCCATGAGGAAAACTGATCAGTCACTGGAATTGATGGCCAATGAAACTACTTTGTGCTCCCATGTAACTAGATTACTTGACGTCTTGGACCTCGGTTGGTCAATAACTAGGGTCGAACAACGAGGAGGAACGTAATTGTGTCTGAGAAACAACGATTTCCATCCAATTTAGTTACTCAATCACAGCACTTTTGCGCTATAATTTTCAAATCAAAACACACGTATTCTTTAACAGTGCCTAGCTGCCAACTTGATGTACCGTGTCCCTGGGGCTCTCCATTTTCCTCGTTATATATTATTACTTTGTATTGTTGTTATTATTACTTGCACATAGTAACAGTAATTAGTATGCACAATTACTGAATTCGTATACGTTCACACTTGCCCTTGAATTTAGCTTTTTAAAAAATTAAATATAAAACTTTTGATTCCAATTTTAGAATTTCAGTGGATGAACTGATTTCAAGTTTAAAACTCTTATTAAAGCAGGAGTTCCCAAATATTTCGAATAATGGCATTTTCGATATTTTAGCTAGTATACGGAAAATAATGGATGCCTAGCTCCATACATGTTTATATAACCTACTATATCCACTGATAGACTTTTTTTTTAGTGGAACATGGGGCAAAAAAAATTTTAAAAAAAAAATTGAAGGAGGGTTTTTTTTTCTTAGATGAAAAAGGAGAAATTATGAGAGAATAAAAGATAATGAAAATATGGATGGGATGCAACATGACTTGGTATAGGCTCTTTGTAGGGAAGGTGAAATGGGGTCAACAGGCTAAACAGTATTCGCCACTATAATGAATGATTCCGTGACCCATATGCATGTGGTTAATGTGTAGATTTCAAGAGAAAGTAATGGCTTTTCTATATGGGGTAAAATGGGTAGATTTCAAGAATGCTGGATATTCCCCTTAATCTGGACAGTCAATGGAGGATGATTGTTGTTGCACATAAATCTGTTTCAAAGTAAGAGGATGTCATTTTTGTTGCCTTTATAATCTATCAAAACTTTATTAAGATAAAGTTATCTTGAGGGTATTGTTCCAGCAAAACTCATTTTTTTTAGAAATTAGAAAATCTTGGGCACTTCAATATTGCTCTTAATTACCTTTAATTGTATCTATTTTTTATTTAATGTATGTTGTCGACCAAATATATATGGGATTAGACTACTCTATAAATTAAAATTTTTAATAATAAAGGGGTGATGACTTAACCAAAGAGTACTTTGGTTAAAATCTAATGATAGACAGAGACCTAACATTATGGTCTATATTTAGTTCTTATCTTTCTACTAGCTAGCATGGTTTGATTTTCGCCAAGAAAAGGAGAAGGTGAGCAGAGATAAAAGCAATACTAGAACGAAAGTGAATGTCAAACCATTAATTAGGAGCGTTTCTACTTGGTTCTACACTTCTACTGATGTGAAAGTTGCTTGGCTTAGAATTTTTTTTTTTTTTTTTTTACTTTGAAGGTTCATCAATCCAACATAATTAGAAAGAGGAAAACTTTGACCTTACCCTTGAAATTGAGCAAAAATTGTACAAATAAAATAGGCTAGGCGGCCGTCCAGGAGTCCACTACACTGGAGTATACTAAAAAACAGTCAAATTATGCCTAAACTAAAAATCAGAAAAAAAATTTAAAATTTAATTTAATTGATCTATAAATCATTCTTAAAAGGTAATATTTAACAAATATGAATGCGAATTTTAATGGTTACAAAATTTTTCTCATATTGTAACTTTTCTGTAAAAAAAAAAAAAAAAAAGAGCTGTAAGAGTTCGACAGCCCCACACATCAAACGTTGCATTTTAGCCTGTGGAGAGTTTCAAACATCAAGGGTCATTTCCAAATAACATCAGTTATCAAAGTTTGTCAAATTCATTCTATCTTTAAAAGAAATTTGTTGGTGGGAGGTTGATGAGTAGTGATGGAGAACGAAGTGGAAAATACGCTTTTGAGATAAGGTACAGCAAGCATTACAGTCCTTGTCATGTGGGTATTTTCATGCAAAGTTAGAAAATGAATAATAGAACTCCATTGTCCGTAGCTCTAGGCGATCAGTTTACTTGGATGAGAACAAGAGGACTCTGCCGGCTTGGAGTATATCACTGATCAGAGAGTCAACTTCAGTTTGCTCTTGTTTTAGTTGGTTAGGTTTCTAATCATGAAGCATCATTGAAAATGAACAAAATTTTGCCCTAATCCAGGGTGGCCGGTGATCATGCTTGGACCACAAAGATGCGTACTTGCAGCTAAGCGTCGCAGCAATTCTAGATTCTTTCGTGTGAATGATGATGAAAAGTGTATTGTAAAATACTCAAGGGAAACCAAAGCCCTTTTCCACAGAAATTTGTGTATTGGTTTGAGTTTTGATCATCGAAACTAGAGTTTGATCATTAGTGTAACTTTTCCAAATAAGAACAGGAAACAAAGCATAGTTATGTCTCGTGTCTATCAATTTTGTACTTTCGGTCACAATCAACATCTCCTTTTTACTCCACATTTCCCTTTGCCTTCAAATTAAGTATGATTTATTATCTTTATCCATTGATGAAAAGAATAGTAAACTCGATGGAAAAGTTTTAGATAGTTTATTCAATAATATCTAAGGGGAGGTGCTGTATCTTTGCATCCTTTTGATTGTGGCTATCGCACGAAATTGAAATGGGGAAAATGAAATCATATCATGGGATCCATACAATAGGGAAAATTTGCTTCCATTCCTTCTTTTCTTCATTCCATCGATCAAAAGTGAAATTTGTAACTCTTATAAAGCACTTATCCTTGCATTTCTCGTAATCCTTATGGGAATCATATAGATAGTATGGTCGTTCATGGTAATAACCGTGTGATATGTTGTTGTATGTTCCTTCACAAAATACTGGTGGCCAACTGCTAATATTAATGTACTGAGGTAGAACAATTGAAGTTTCATTTCCAGGGGCTATACCGACTGAAAATCGTGTCAAATTCACATGGCATGTGATGTAAGCGACCTTGCCTGGTTTGGCCTGATCATTGCTTACAACCAGAGTGGTGGCAATGCTGGATTCCCATGAAGCAACCAGTGATAGAATTAGAATGAGAATGGTTGGCTTAGGAGTCCTCATGGTTGGGAATTGATGATCTGCGATCCTACTTTAGCACTGCTGTTACGATTAGAATTTGATGTAATTTTTATAGAAGTTAGATTGCTCCATTCTTAATTGCCGTCATGAGCGTTTCTGAACTGTAAATATAGCAGTTGCAAACGTAAAATAATGCTAATGACGTTTGATCTATTGATATAATTAAGATAATCCCTTTGCATATTTCTGGTTTTCCTTCATAATTTTGGTCGGAATCAGCTAGTATTGTAGTAATATGCAGATCTCTCCCACCCAAAACTTCCAAGGAGAAAATTCTCTTCATTGCTTGAAACCTTTTGACTTCTGCTGAAAGCAGAAGTTGATTTCTCAATTTTTACCGTTACAACAATCTCAAAACTTCACCCACTTTGCAAAATCAAAATCAAGAAAGAAAAATACCCAAATACATGTATTATACAAAACAACTTTGTATTTATTAATGGGCTCAAAGCATTATACCAGCTAAAGGCAAAGCAAACGAGCTGATATTCAACTATGGGCCACAATAGGATCCAATCAAGCAGATACTAACAAATTCTGCGATCTCTTCTCATGTCTAAACCCGAGCTTTTTTGGGTAATCGGTACTCCATAGAAAGATACCCCCCTAGCTTTGCTTTCGGCTTCTGTACCTCATTGCAGGCTTCAAAAAAATCCACCATCTGGGCCCAGACCTTGCCCGCCATAACTAATGAAGCTTGCCAAAATTTGCCCCTCTGCATAGCTAGATGATTGCTCATTGAAATAGTTTACGAACTGTAAGACACTAATCTTATTGTATACATAAACTTGGAAGTTGATATATTCTATCAGATGTCCATATTTCCTCCATAATTTGAAGTGATTGCTTTGGACAAATCCTCCTTTCCATGCGGCATCTTTACTTATACCTGAATTTCTAGACCCGGTTGTATTTAACTATGCTGAATGCTTTACTGAACACGATTAAAAAAGTCATGTAGTCAATATATAAGAATTACTTGCAAACGTGCAACAATGTATTGAAAGAACTATTGGCGCTAGATCATATTAATAGAGATTATGAATGATGATTAAAGCAAAGTTGGTAGGATTCAGGTTGAGCTGATGGGTCAAAGCTACAGATTTCTACCATTTCTGCGGATTATTATCCTTGGTTCTTTGAGTTTTTGGCATTTTAGGAACCTTAAATTTGGAGCACTTAAAGACTCTAATCAGGAAGCACTTAAAAACAGAGCAATGGTATCGTAATAAAATATATATATATATATAAATAAAAATATGCTATGAAGGAGTATCGTGGTCTAGATAGGCTTAAGAGGCTAGATTTGATTGAACAAAAGAAACTCCAAATATTATAATTTATAATATCGAGACCACTTTGTATTGACATTTTGAAATGTTGATGTTACAAAAGAAATCAATTCCTCACTTCTTTCTTAACTCCACAAGGATCAAGGAAACATTTTCGGACCATTGATAGGCCAATGTCAAAAACCAAAAGAGTCAATAAATCAAAATGGTTGAAATAAGAGAAAACGCCAAAAGAAAAGGGTTTAGGCAGGCTTTTGGTCAGAACTCAGAATGGACCAAGGAGTGAGTCATATTGATCAACATTTAGGAAGATCTGCTGGTGGAGGCAGCAGCTTCTGATTGGGAAGTTTTCCATCCAATACAATCCAAGCCATCTTCAAACCCCAGCTGGTGTGCACTTCCAGGTGGCAATGCATGAACCATACCCCTGCAAGCATGTGGTTCTTGATGTCATGATTCATGTTCAATCCAAAGCAAGCAAGCAAAACACAGGTTTATACAAGTCATTTTCCTTTAATTTCTTTAATGCATCTTATTGATATTCTCCATTTCACTTACCTGGATTGTCTGCTTGAAAACGAATTGCCACCCAACCTCCCGATGGCACACCAACAGTGTTCCTTTCAATAGGGTCAACCAGGTTGAACTTTGCAGGGTCCTTATTCGTATCAAAGTTGCCAAAACCCTGGCCGACAACGAAGAAGTTGAAGCCATGTAGATGAAGAGGGTGGCTTTCAGCTCCAAGAATGCTCGTGTCCTGCATAACTAGCTCCACGGTAGTGTTAAAAGGAAGCACTACTACCTTTGTTCCGTTGCCTACCATAGTATTGTTAGGTGGGATGCCTGCATAGTTAAACGGAATTATTGGACTGCTAGGAAAATCAGGGGTGTAAACTCCGTTTGATTGGCCAAAGAAATGAGCTTGGAGTAGTGCTGTAGTTGGCATTGCAAACGATACATTATTGACTGAAGCTGCCAACTTGGTTCCATTTGGACCTTGGCAGGTTTGGTTCTGCTGGCATGGGCTGGTTCCAAGACCTACTGTGAACAAAAAATGCTTATCTACCTTCTGGGGCACGTTGGCAGGAAATTGTGCACTAGCCAGGCTACAGAGTTTACTCGCGAAATTTGTAGCAAAGAAAGTGTCATTTAAAGCAGGTAAAATTGGTTTAAACAAGGGGAGCATTGAGCTGCTAGAATGAACGCTATTGGGTGGTGACTCGTATTCTAAGATAGCGGCAACAGTTGAATTGTCAAATGTTCCTTGGCCTGTTACATATGGTCTAGCAGTCATGAAGAATGTGGCACTTGGATAGCCGGGTTTGGTCTTAATAAGAACATTTGTGGTTTGACCAGGGGTGATGAGAAGTGTTTCAGTCTCAAATGGCTTAACATAAATCGCATCAACTTCAACAACAGTGAGTGTGTGGTTTGCAATGCTGAAGAAGAGCTCATCGTTGAGTGCAGCGTTGATTAGACGCAGAAGGTAAGTCTTGCCCGGCTTCACCTTCAGCTTGAATGTATCTGTCAAAATTATTACTTCCAAGTTGAATCAAATAGCTCTATAATGTATATATAGTATAATACAACATTTTAGCTATTTTATACCTTCCGTAGAGCATTTATAAAGTGGTCCTGGGAGACCATTGATGGTATAAGCATCAGAGACATTTGGACCTCCACCTGTCTGGAGGGCTTGGCTAATAACTTCCTCAGGATCTGCGTTGAACCACTCTCCTACAATTTATCATAAGGTTAATTTGTCTTATAAGCAAAATAATTAGGCCTTTTAAAGTTGCAAATAAATGAAGATCATCTCATTCATGATTTAATACCGAAGATGATGGGAACTTCCTTGTAAGGCTTAGCAAATGGGTAAGGAACACCATGCTTGGGAAGAATGACCATGGGACCATAAACAGTTGCTCTTAGCCATGATATGTGGGCGTGCCAGAAGAGAGTGCCTCTTTGGCCTACAATGGTGAAGTTGTAAACGTAGCTCTGGCCTTTTTGTATGGGACACTGAGTCACATATGCCGGCCCATCTGCCCACCCACTTCGAAGTTGCCGAATGCCATGCCTATTTCAAAGACATCATCATAACTTGCAATTTAGACTTTTCATCATTTATTTAACTTGTAATAGCTGCAAAATGTCAGTTTCCAAAGCAAAGCTCGATACCAATGGATGGAAATGTTGTTTGACACATGGTTGACCACTTTTATTAGAAGCTGATCACCCTCCCTTGCTACAATGCGAGGCCCTGGAAATTGTCCGTTCACTGAGACGATGCTCTTTGTATGGCACAAACGTGTCACATTATGCAACTTGATCTACAAAATGTTAAGGTAAACCGATTAGAAGTAATTAAATCAAACATTTGATTAATTTAATAATGCTAGCTTGATTATCATGCCAAATACATACATCAAACTTGTAGTGCCTGGTGATCCCAAGTACAGGCTGAGGAAGTAGACTCAAAGTGAAAAATGAGAAGAGAACCAGAAGTGCTGGTGATGAAAGAAGAGAAGCGCCCATCTGTTCTGATATCTAGCTCTTTTTTTTTTTTTTTCTGAGCCTATTGGGTGAACTTTGAACCACTCCTCGAGTACGTATTCATCGAAGCATAAAAAGGAGTATATTTATAGTATTGGGAAAGGGTGTTTGGTATATAATTTGGTTGATTAGGTGACAGAAATTATCTCAGTTTAAACATGAGAAAATAAACTAGAACACACCGCTTGAAAATAGAATTCACTACGACCCATACCCAGTTGTTAGAACAACTTTAGAGTGCTGTCAAAGATAATCAATATCTCTGACCTCCTTCCTTCGTAAGTCAAAGCTTTATCTCTTAATAAATAATTCCATCGTAATTGAATGTTATTCTATTTCCCATAATGGACGTGATTTTGAGCTATTTCTATGCTAATGTTAAAACCAACTTTGCTACATGCTTGGAACCAAGGAAGAAATTGTGTAGCATTTATCATATCATTAGCCCCAAACATCCTTTCCCTAAGCCTGCGTCGAGGCATGACACTGACATTTACCTACAAATGATCAGTAGTAAAAAAGGGCTAATCAAGGGAAACTTTTCAGAATGATAAAAAGTAGAACAGTTTCGGAATTTCTGATATTTCGAGAAACATTCGGCATTATCGAACTGGGTTATAACATCTGGTAAATTTTACTACCAGAAAAGGGTTTTCACCGTGATCAGTTTATGGTGTTAAATGAGAGATTAAAAGCCTAAAGCGTGGATTGACATTATCCACAAGTAGCATTCTCAAGTCTCAACCGTAATGCTTCCTAGTGAAGCGAATTTCAGGGTTTATATCAAGCAGTCATTTCAGAGTTAGATCCATGTTATTCTTTTCCATTTCAAGGAAGAACAAGTCATGGAGGAGTAACGGGGAAACCCCTATTAACGCAACTTTTCTACAAGAAACAGACTAATAAATACAAAATTAAGCTTCTTTGTAAAGGCATATATAAACTGAAGATAGCTTGATTCCAATGTAGGCAATGTAATGTCAAATTGTGGACTCTATCCATCGGTTACAGAAATGGACTTGTACAGTTGTACATTCCAACCACTCTCTCTTCCTCCCACAAAAGGCAAAGATTAAAGCAAGGTCATGCAAGCTTGAAGTATGCCTTTACATTTTTATGGCATATAAAAGAGTAGTTAAAAGTCTTTTTCCCCACCATTGTTATTAAAGTATTTGTCATTCACGTAGAGCTATTAATATCAAACATTCTGGAGTATTACATTACATTTTGTTTTGCTTCAGATCAGAAATGTCATGCTCTTGCGGGTTAAAGCAGTCTCATACGGGACTTTTCTCTTCTTAACAGAGAAGAAAGATCAGGAAGAAGTAAAAAGTCTCAGACTATTAAGTATAAACAATGCTTAAGAAGATTCAAAAGGTGTATTATTGAAGACACTTCTTCCAAACAGGGTTTCTCGTAAATCAGGCAATGGAATAATGGAGCAAGTTTTTCAGCAGCATTGGCAATCTCTATGGAACTCATTTGATCTTTAAACTTAATTCTGTTATCATTCCTGACATAAAAAAGCGAGTAGTCTTATCTAATTGAATTTCCAGGCCCTCTGGAGATGATGTGTCCAATTCTTGTTCATCCATTTTACTCATACCCTATTAGATCTAAGAAAACTGTGTCAAAATCAATATCTACCGTATCAGTGGGCCTCTAACCAAGGTATGAGAAAGTTGTGATAGTCATTAAGTCTATAATTGCTGTTTTCTTACACAAACAATAACATAGTTTCAGCAATTTGAAGATGTGGGATCATTCATGTGTATAGCGAGTTGAATTCTGTGGTTGGTTTTTGTGATTGTTTGTCAAATATCCAAAATTGAACTATTATTGCCTTCCTAGACCCAAAATTGATGCTAAAATTTCAAGTCATTCACCAAAGGAAAAGAATAATATGGATGAAAGGAACACAACAGATACATGAAATATTTATACAACTGAAAGCAATACACATATATTAAGTAAATATAGTACATCCCCGAGGGTCTAATTCATATTCATTACTTTTATAACAGTATAAAAGGTGCAGATTGCATAGCTAAAACACAAATACTAGTGGGAAATTGCAAGTAGAGCTTGTGATTGCTTCTCATAGAGGAAACCGTTTCCTTTAGAATCATCTGCAGACCAAACAAATATACCATAGAGTTTGTTCTGACTCTTGAGCCTATTGCAGGCAGTAAAGAAGCCGCTTTCTGGTGTCAAGCCACCGCTCCCATCGCTTATAAAGCTCACTAAAACCTTACCACCATTATAGTTAGAGCTTTGGGTGTTGAAGTAATTCATAAATTGAGAAACTGTTGTTCCTTGATCATAAGCGTAAAATTGGAAGTTGACATAGTCTATGAGGTGACCATAGCTCTTCCACAAGGCCTTGTAATGGTTTTGAACATCATCATCATCAAATGGAGCTATGGAAGCAAAAGAGATTACTCCATTCTTCTTGAGGGTTGTTATAAGTCGCCCAATGCACTGAGCGAAAGTTTCAGGATCAGCATGGAAGTGCTCGTAGTCAATATCAATTCCATCCAAGTTGTACTCTTGGATGATATATGTGAGAGAAGAAACTGCATTCGAAACCCAAGAATCTACAGTGGAAGGGTCGAAGTAAGCATATCCATCTCCCACACTGTCCCCTCCTAGGCTTAAGGCCACTTTAACATTTGAATGGTGGCTCTTGATATAAGAAACCTGGGAAGGGCTGAGGTTATCAGAGTCCCAAAAAACATTGAACTTTCCATTTGTTGGAGAAGTAGAACCTGAGGTGTCATAGTCTATGGCGAATGAGAGAATGTAGTGGAATTCAACATTTGAATTAATGGGAACATCAGTGAATTTAACATTCTTGAACTCAGCTCCTATATATTCTCGAAAGAGGTTTGAGTTTGCAGGAGCTGCTTGGATTGACATGTGGCTGGGGAGCAAAACTTGGAAAATGAAAAGGGCAATGAAAAGCTTCGGAAAGTCCATTGCTTTGAACATGTAGATCACTGTTGTAAGCTTTGAGTTAAATCACTCTTGGTAGAAGGTTATTATATAAGCATTAGAGTGCAAAATACAAAGGTTTGGGACATGGCGAAATCTGATTGACAATAAAGAAATTGTTTGTTTGCCGTTGCCGTTGCCGTTGCCGTACTTATGCTTCTGGGGTCTTTATTCTGCTTAATTAGACAAATAGGCTACTATTTTGGCCCTGGCGATCTCTCATAAAATACCAACTATATAAATGAAGATGATTTTTTTTTAGATTTTAAAATTAATTTTTTATGGTGTTATTGTATAATTTGTGTGACAGTGAATATCACTCCACAATGCATTAAATATAGATTCATTAGCAAGACTTCGGAACGTTGTAACTAAAAGATAATTGTTTTATACAACTCCAGCTGTTACTTTGTCCTGGTATGGTTATGCTAGCCAAGAACTTCATTATCTTCTAGACTATGGAAGAACAGTACCTTGGATGGAATGGTCTATGAGTTAATTGTCTGACAGGGAAAGTGAGACCTGTGAATGATATGTTTTGCGTGATTTTCAACACTTTGTTGCTCTTAGTTAAGAATAAGAAAATATCATGATCTTCAATGCACAACCACATTTTCGATTGACCTTATTCAATACCTTTTGCCCATTCAGCTATTCTGACCATTCAACTTATAAATCGACTACTACGAGTACCAAAATTCAAGCTTTTGTTCTAGAACAGACTGCCTTTTTTTTATTTTTTTAATTTTTTATTCTAGGCAGGTTCAGAATACGTTTGAATGGATCTGTTAAAGGCCTATGTATCTTTTTGATTCTCCACTTTCCTTCTCCCAATATTCTCTGATGGTAATCCAATGATCGAGGTTTTAGCAACACAAAAGTCTTCTCATGTGATTAAGCATAACATAAAGCCATCTGGTGGCAGGCATAGCCATAAAAAATGGACCATTCCATTAGTTTAATGCCCACAAATACAAGAAGTTTAAGTTTAGTACAATACCTAGGCAGCAAACAAGCTCACAACACCACAAATACTTGTTAAAAGAATAACGAGAAAGCTTATCTGTATAGCAACTCTACCCTCACAACATATCTGATATTTGAAGTCAAATGTTAACTTCAGGTTCAATGAACAACCCCTAGGTCATCAATTACTGTGAAACCAATAATATTCTTTCTGTTAATTCCGCATTTGAGTCAATTGCAAGTAATTCCATCACAAGGGCAAACCAACCTACCCAAAGTGAAGGTCTATTCTCTATTCATATGTTTAAGTACTGGTATTCCTCCTTCGTGGAACTGGTTTGTATAGCACAACAGTAACGTACTGCGAATGCAAGCGCTGAGTGAACCCAAATGCAACTACAGATCTTGGTACCTCTCGGTTTTCAATGTAAAGATGTTTTAGAATCACATTTTCTGGCAAAGGAAGATTCCCTGAAGCAGTCATGCTTGCAGAGTAGCTAAACAAGGTATGATGCAAGTGTGGAGGGACAACTGGCGGGTCACGTGCATCATCTTCATTCCCAGGGTATGCATTATTATAACTTGAATCAGGTGATCGTGGCACTTCAAACCCCATGACAGTTGCTGCATCCTGCACGAAAGATTGCATGTTTAAACTCTGAAAAATTTTAATGGCCAAATAATCACCAAGATACCATGACTTACTTGATCTTCACCATATTGGTTGTTCATACTGAGAACTAACACGAGAGACTAACAGGATGAATCATAGACAAAGCAATATCTAAATAACACAAGTGTGCCTGAAATAAAGCAATTATTTTTAAAAGTAAGCATTTCAAAGTTTAACAAAGCATCATGTAGAATTAACAACTAAAGAGATATACAAACACTTGTAACGTTACATAGAAAAAAAACCAGGAAAACAGAATTCAAGAAGGCCCCATTCAAACTAGAATGAGCAATACTAAAACATAATTGTTCAAATGAAAGTTTGCCATAGGCCAACTACACAACATTTCTTGCAGTCATGAATATAAAAGATGAGGTTTTAAGCTTATTTTCTGTGTTCAATTGCTTTCTAGAAATCTAGCAAACACATTCTGGCTCCAACAGAGTTCAGAATGCAATACAGAAATAATCTAAAATCGCTGCTAGCATGTTTGTTAATTGTGGAGCTAAGAAACATCTAACTTATTTGTGTTTGAGGCCCAGAGACTCAGATAAAAAAACTAGTCCTAACGTCTTCATTTCATCTAATCCAAGAACAGGACATGGATAGTACATAACCTTATAACCACAATTCTAACCAAGGGATTCAAACACAAGTGTCATTAAAACTAAATCTGAGAATCCATTATACTTTGAGCACCAATCAGCTTTGTTTTCATTCTTCACAAAGAAGAAATACTACTAGTGGTTAAGTCAGCCTGGTAATGCAGATCACGAGTTAAACAACACAGCAATCAAAACACTCAACAAATGTCCTGCTGAGAATAGCAAGTGCAGAAGACAGCAAAATGCAGCAGGGAAACCTTGTGAAAGAATGGAAAATGTGAACGCAGATGACTATAGCATAGAGTTATAAAAAACAAGGCATAGTTCATTAAGACCAGAGAAATGCAATCAAAAGCTTGGGCTATGTCCAACTTACTAATATGGGGAGCAAGGAGGATGAGTCATATGTGATTATTAGAATCATAAGGGCCTTTATCACTATCATAAGCAAAAGTCATTCTACATAAGCATCAAGAATGATCAAAGAATCTTAAGTTGTCTAAGAAATACAAAAGAAGAATCATTTAGAGAGTATGGATAAAGCATCTTTTGCTTAACCACAGGTAACATAACAGGGATAACAGACACAGATGAATCTTCTTTAGTAAAATGTGTGTATAGCTGACATTCACATGAATCATTTAGTAAATGTTCGTATAGCTGACATTCAGATGTATTTTACAGGGTCACCAGTGAGCTAAAATGCCTTCAATTTTTGCAGGTATTTCCCTGTCTGTTCATTGATGTCAAGTCTTAATCCTGAAAGGTGTGCCTTTAAGGCTTGTAAGTTGGAATCATCCGCAAAGTAGCACAAAAAGTTTATAATCATTTCAAACATTTTTTATACAAGAAATAAAATTTGGTCTTACGTAAAATAATTAAAAAATAATGTTGTTTCCGATGGAAGAGCTCTGTGATAAATTAAAGGGTTCAAATAAATCCTGATTTTATTTCTATGCAACCGAAGAGATATCTTGGCCATTAAGTGAGAATCACATCCACATTCACAGACTTTGGATGGTAGAATAATAGGACTGTACATTTTTATACATAAGAAATACAAACGTCTGTTGAGGCTATTACATCAACAACCAAAACCCCAAAGTGTGACATATAAAGTTCTCTTCCTATATTCTATTAAAATTGGCCTTAAAATTCATAACATGATGGGCAACAAAATACCCACAATTCCGTTAAGCATCAATTCTAAGGAACTAATAATCGTGCTCCTACAGACTCACTCTTACAGCATTCTCTAACCAAATACCCCTACTGCTCTAGAATTCATGACAATATCCGATCTTTATAACAACAGTAACCCATAACATTGAAAACATAAATATCTCCAAAGCATCCGATGCAAACCTTTGAACTATTATAGTCCACATATCTTATTCTAACTCTAAAAGCAACATTAAAGTCAGTGAAATTAATTTGTTAAATAACAATAAAAAAGAGACTGACCCGATTTGATTGTGGCCCAATCGGCTTCAATCACCAAAACCCCGGCTTTTCAATACCTCATCTCTCCTTAAAAAACCAAACTTTACAGTAAGATAGTTTGAATAATTTTTCAATGTCTCCAAGCTTACCTGCAAAACTAAAGCAAACGCAGATTAAATCCATTAAAAACTTAGCAAAACAAAAAATACCCAACAATTTAAACCCTTAGAATTCAATGAAAATCTATAAGAATATAAAATTCAGGTTTAAAAAAAAAAAAAACCCACAATGGGATTTCTAGAAATATGAAATTCGAAGCAACCGAGTCGCCAAGAGAAAAAAAAATTAAATGTGGTTTACCCTGAGAAGTAGAGAATTTTCCAGAAGGACACGAAAATTAATAACTGCCGTTATTATTGTTATATTAAAAGCAAAAGCATCAATAATGAAGACACGACCACGCTGAACTATTACTACGTTTTGTTTGGAACCTTTTTCCTTTGTTCTTTCTCTCAAATTTATGTTTCTCTCCTTTTTGTTTTTAAATTCCTTTGCCCATTTCATGTTCTTCAATATTCTTCTAACTCACGAAAACTAATAATTATTACTATTTGCAATTGCTTATATTTTCAATATGTGGTAATATTCAAATGTAGTAATTTTTATTTATTTTTAAAAAGTTTTGAATTTAATATCATTTATTCAAAATTAAAAATAATTAGTTGAGTAATTTGGGATTAAATGCAAATATTTGTCCAATTGAATCTTAATTAACTTGCTCATAAATATCTTAACTCATTAACACTCTTAATTCTAATAATATTTTTCAATTATTTAATAAAAGTTATTATGGATGGATATTGAAATTGTCATTATATTCTTATTTGATTGAAATCTGTCACTATAATTTTATTTTTGATGATTTTTGAACCCCACTTAATAAAAATAGAATACTCCTTAAATATTTTATTAGTATATTTGACTAATTTTTAATAAAATAAAAATATAATATGAATATTCAGCATAAAAATTGTATATTAGAAAAAGTTATTATTTGTTTTTTTGTAAAATTTATACTAAAATAAATACTTTCCAAATATTAAAACTTAAAATAAAATTTTTATATAAAAAAAACTAATTCTATTTGGTTTTACTAAATTAAAATTAATTCTATGTTTCCAAATATTAAATTAAATACTTCCCCTTATCTTATTTTTTTTAGCATTGTTGAGTGCCTTAGAATAAAATAAATAATACTCAGCCCTATACAATGAATTCAGGCCCAAAGTTGCTATTTAAGCATTTCAGTGTTAACCCAACAGCAGATGGATCTGGGGTCAGCCCAGTTTCTACTGTTGATATGATAATCCAGCTTCAATGCTTATGGACTTCATCCTTTGCCCCAAGTAATTTTACAGTACTCCCCATGACCCAAAAACTGTTCCAGCCTCAGCTGTGACAATTTTTTTTAGCATTTGCCTATATAATGATGACAAATTCTTTGTTTTTAATGGGATACCTAAACATTTAAGAACTTTAAACTCCACTTTCTTAAAAAATAAAAAAATAAAAAACTCCATTTTAAAAGACTTGAATTTAAATCTTTAAGAAAATGAGATGAGATTTATTGATTTAAAGATTCATCTCTCGTATATAGCCGATAGATAATAATAAAATTTTGAATTAAATATTTAATTTATTTGATTTATATAATTACTTTTAAGGATTGATATTCAGTGGATTTAAAATTTAAATCTCAATGTTTATTATTCTTTTCCTTCTCCTCGAAGTAGCACATTTTTTATTAAAAAAAGTAATTCAATTAAGAATAAAATTATTTCATTGCCTATGGCAAGAGCCTTTGGGTCAATTTTCAGGATCATGTTATCTTAATCTAAAATAATCCATATTCTAAGTTCTAACCTATTAGTTAAAAAGTTCTTTTTTTTTTTTAAAGTAAAGTTGGAAGGTGAAAGTAGCTAGCTAGGGAACAATGAAGGCTGGAATTACTATCAAGGCATCCTCAATTACCACGCTTTTGTTCTCATTATCACACTTTTATTTTGTCTCTTAGTCTGTCTCTCACAGTGAACAACAAAAAGTTTTGCTTCTATCAATGGTGCTGCAAATAATATACAGCCATTTTTATATCCCAAATTCAGATCTTTCGAAGCTAAACGTTAAAAGATGAACTAATGTTGTGGGATGAAGCAAATTAAGGTTAATTATTTTAATGAAGCCGGCATTAAAAATTGTTTTGTTTTTTTTTGGTTGTCATGACGTTACATGATGAAGGGATTTTTTTTTTTTTATAGTGTATCCAATAATTAATTTTTGTGATAAAAAATTGGAAAAAAAAAAGTAACATGGTTTAGAAATTTCGAATTAACAAATACACAGTCGGTGACCGTCCAAAATAAATGATTAGCCATTAAGTGCAAAGAAAACAGCATATTATCCATGAACAAGCATGCATGCAGAATCAAGAATATGCTTAAGATCCCCATGTCACATGAATTAGTATTTTAAAGTTTAGTACTTATAATCCTCTATGGATATGATGAAAACTATTTTCTTTTTGTTTGCTTATGCAATTAATTGCAAAAATTTATGTGAAACAGAAGTTGCCCTTAAGAAACATCACCTGTTAAGATTTGGTTATGGAGGTCGATGATAAAACAATTAAACTTGACCTAATAGTTGTTACCATCCTTAAGATGATTTGAGTTCCTAAATGTTAAGAGGTACATGGTGGTATTACTTGGATGATTTTAGATATGATATGATGAATCAACTGTAAGAATAATGTTTCGTTCAATCCAAAGACATTATTAAAGTTTTTTTGGGAATATTGGAGAGATTATTCAATTTTTCATATCTTACTATACAATTATTGCTCAAGTAGAGGAATATGGTGGACCAATTTTGATCGAGTTACATATGGTGTTGATTCTCAACCCTAATTCTGAGATGTACTGTTGCTTCTGTTTTGGGGGTGAAGATGCTTCAATAATTGATGGCCATAGGGGTACCATTGTCTTGCCAAGCATGGGTAAAGAAGAATCTTACTACTATCAAACAATTAATTCAATCGTCCTCGATCTATAGACTCTATAGCCACATTTAGTTTATATATATATATATATATATATATGCGAAAATTTATGTGTTGCCTACCTTAGCATAAAGGATAGTGTTATATGCACTTATTTCATATATATATATTTTATTTTATTTAAGTAAAAATATTAAAATTTTTATGGATTATAATAAAATTTTAAAATTTTATATGTTATGTGAGTGTGTGAAATGAGTGCATATAGCTTTTTTTTTTCTTTCTTTTATTGACCTATGATATATAATTAGATACTTAACATAGCCCCATGAATGAAACATTAGACTTTGAAGCAAATGTTATCAAGCAAAGCATCGGTTAGATTCTTAACCCAAAAAAAACGAAAAAAAAGCACTGGTTAGAACTTAGACGTTTTTCTTTAATATTATTCTAATATTTCTTGTTTACTGTCTTTAAAAAGAAGAAAAAAAAATGTTCCAAATTAATTGGTTCCACGGCCTTTAATTAGAAAGGAAAAAGAGAATAGGAAATGCAAAGGATTGTGTCCACAAATTAAAATGTCTTTAATTTGCCTTTGGAGTCATAAACTCATAAGAAGACGAAGAAGAGGAAAAAAGGTCCCTTTAATAAGAAGAAATGTCTTGGTCGCCAATGCCGTGCACAGGTTTAAAGCTGCTAGTCTATTCAAACACAGTGTGAGGAGAAAATTAAACTATTTACGTATCCTGTCACACAGGCTACACAAACAAAAAAAAGATGACAAATTATGAAATTTGTTATTAGCATATGTGTCATGTATTGTGCTTAATTCTGCTAGTTTTTGGACACCGAGTACTCATTTCTGAATGTGTCATCCACAATGGCTTGAAAAACAACTGAATTTTGAAGGATTTGTTTATTCTTATCATCTTATTTGGATTGCCTGGTGATTAAGCTCAAATTGTCCATATCTCCCACCATTTCTTGAATGGATAATCTAAGAAGAATGATACAATGTTTTTTGCCTTGAAACTGATTTCCAGGACGAATACGATTGATGGATTATAAGGAACACACTCCATTATCACTCTCCTGTTTGGAAGTCTACAAAGAACAGCATGGTCTCCTCCCAAGAAATTATTGAATGCTTTTACTGTACAAGTTGATATGTAGAAAGTATGATCAACTTGTGTCCTTATTGAAACCCTTGAAGGGCCAGGTCCTTTATTCCTCGTGTATTCCAAGTGGCTGTTTCAATAAAAAGTTTGTCAGAACTTGAACAGCTGATTTGTCAGAGCAACAGCAGCAGGAAGGAGCATAATCACCCTCCGGATATGGGCTGGTTGCCTGAACAGCAACGACATGGTCAGAATTGGCACCTTTATCCAATAGATAATCCACTTGATCGACAACTTCAGCAACTTCCTACAACTGTTTTTTTTTCAACCACAAAACTGGAAGTAGAATCCAACATCCTATGCATAGGATTCATAAATTATGGAGACTTTAGATTAAGAGAGTCAAATAATTAAATTAAGGTGAAGAAAAGAGATCATATTCATTCACTAAACGTCAAACCAAATGACGTGACATAATTGGGAAGTTATTATGTAGGAAAGCTAGCTAGGTACGTTTCTGCGAAAAGAAGTGGTCTATTGATTAATGTCTACGCTTTTGGACAAAAAATTATACGATTCACGTATTCTACTATATATAAAACTCAATTTTTTTTTTACTTAATTATTTAATATAACATTGAATTTTAATTTTAATTCAATTAATTTATATAATTATTTTTAAAAAATAATATTTAATAAATTTAAAATTCGAATTCTAATACTTTCAATTCTTTCTTTTATTTTTGTTGTGACCTCTTCTATAATAAAAAGTATTTGATATAATGTTTGCCACTTAATGGCTACCGTCTTTTGTAGTTTCCAAGCAAATATTATAAAACAGTTGCATCTTCATTTGCACCATAAAATCCAAATCTGGGACTAAGACACTATGTGGTGATCATACAAGCAATCCCACCTCGACAATAAAACAAAAATTCAAGAGATTTCAATCTAAGAAACTATGAAGTGGCCGGTCAAATTAATATCATTTCCAAGCATAGCATGTGGGATTGATTAAATCCAGCGATACATCCACCTAGTTAATTATCATAAGTATACCAAATCCTGCAAAATTAAGGAAAATGAAGTCTTATGCAAACTCCAGGTGCATTATCCATAAATAAAAGCTTGGTTTACGGCACAATGAGAATTTCTCCCTACCTTCCATCCAGAAAAAGCATTAATATCTCACATGCTCGTTTACGGTTGTTTGTCAATCGTTATTGCTAATCGATTAGCTTGGTGAATGGTGATGGTTCGAGAAGGTTAATCAACAAAGGAACTTTAGTGACAAAATATATGACCTTTATATATATATATATATATATATATATACATATATAGTAATTAAAAAGGACAAAAAGATTGGCCAAGTTTGTTGAATCCTATACGAAAGCAAAAGGTCGGAAAGGATGATATAGGAGAGTATGAATAAAGACAGGCGTGGGCAAAGGGGAAGACAGAGACTGTCGTAGGCACACTGTCTTCAACCAGCCCCATTTTCACGTGGAGTAGTGGCCCCGTCCGTACGGTTTCCATGCTCCTTTCTCAGTTTTCACCGTTGGAACCACCGTGCTTCCCACGTGACACTTCCTCAACTGCCCTCCACACCTCCAACTCAACCCCTTTTCTTTTCTCAAAATTCTTTCTCTTCCATTTTTATCATAATTTTTTTTTTCTGAATTAAATGCATAATACTACCAACAAGAAGAAATTAGTATTAAATTTACAGACATATTAATTTTTTTAAAGTAATTAAAACGTAAGGCACATGTGATGCAAGTGTACTGCATGCAACACGCCATGAAACTTTAGCAGTCGACCATTAACAATGAAATTGAATTCTTGGTTCAAACCTATTTGTAGCTTGACATGGGAATTTTTCAATCAATTCTTTTGACATAGTTATTTCATATTAATGTTCAATTTGAAATAGAACAAAATGAATAAAGATTTACCGAATTAATCAAACTATACAATAGAAATGGGTAAAAGTAAAACTATTTGTCTCATATAAATCCCATTTTTGTCTTTCAATGTTTGAAATATAAAATTTTCAAATCAATTGAATCTTGAAATATGTAAGGCTATATCGTTAGTTTTTAGAAAAAGTTGAAGCTTCCTTCTCTTCCTCTCTCCTCACCATGTTTTACATGTTTCTTACTCTCCTTTCCTCTCCTCATCAGTTTTGGGAAATCTCTGTTGACAATTTGTAATAGTAATATGGAAATGGAATGTAGAAGGACAAATAAGCTGCGAATTACGCGTGAACGAAGTGGCTAAAATGTCGAAGGCGTGGTACATTTTTTATTCTTTCTTCATTTGAATGGCTAATGAGAAGTGATTTTCATCGTGTCATTTTCGAACTAAACCCATTCTTCTTTCCGACCATGGAAATAAAGCAACACTCTTAAAGCAATCACTAACTCAGAAGAGGACCAATTAAGATGCATAGCTAGATAGCTAGTAATAGTATATATATATATATAATTTCATTTTCAAGCAACAGCCTAGGCACTTCAATCCCTTTTTTATTAGGTCTCTACTGATCTATATATTTGTGGGACGTGGCCCCTAAATTCCCAATTGGAAAATCCTTCAAAATCTCATAGTTGACAGCCAAATCTCTCGTCTCGTTCCTTATTCCTTTTCCTTTTCTTTGGTTTTTTTGTTTAATTGTGGCAATGCATGGGATCTGCATTCTTAAATATGATTGTACATTGTCAAAAGAAGCATTGGCCTCTTGTTTTTGGTTTACATATTATCATGATTATGTCATGCAACGTGTGCAATATCTGATCTCATGTTCGACACCTAAATTTGTCCAATAAAGCTTGAAATTAAAGAACATTAAAAGGTTACGACAAAAAAAAAAGTAAAGAAAGACATACAATTAATAAAAAAAATTTCATCATTAAGTAGAAGAGTTTTTTGCGCTACTTGTCTTGTCCTTGATGCAGGCACTAAACTCCTAATCCCCATTGATGGTTTTGACATTTAATTCTTGCGTTACTTTGGAAAGATAGCCAGGGTATTCTGATCATATCAGAATATAATTCTACCAAAAATTAAAAAAAAAAGGATTAGTAATAAATGAATGAATAACATATATCATGCTGAATCTCTTATATATTATATCCACATGAAACAGGATTTATTAACAAACGAAAAATTTTAGCTACAACTTACAAGTAGAAAGAAGGGCAATTAACTGCATCAAATTTGAAAAAAACAGAAGAAAAAAGAAACCATCTGTTGAATATCTAAATTTTCTCATTCATGATGATTGAAAAGAAAAAAAAAAAAAAAAAAAGGAGGGGGAGGGGGTTCAAGTGGCCAACAAATGGAAAAAAAAAATCTGCATCAGCCACTTCAGATTGTACGGAAATGGGCCCTGTTTCAGGTGGAGGCTTGATGGCAAGAATTTACAAATTCATCATTATTTGGGTTTTTCTGTTCATTTTCTGTTGAGAATGAAACAAAATTATATAGTATACAAACGTTTTAGAATGAGGGTGGCATAAGGTAAAATCTTTGTTCGTGGGAGGCATGATTTATATACTTAGGTAGTTCAATTTCAAAATCAATGCAAATTCAGTCAAAAGACCTCATTTGGGAACAGAAAATGAAGAACATGTTTGTCTCCCCTGTCATGTGTATATTTAAAGTTAACTAGAAAACCATGTAATTAGTGTTGCGGCACATGTGTCATGTGTATAGCACCAAGTTCAATCCCTTGACTATGTGATTTTAATTTTTTGTTAATTTTCAAAGCAATCAGTTGAAATTAATTAGTATTGATATATAGTAATTCTAATTTGAAAAAAAAAAATGTGTATGGGGTTTGGTGGATTGACACACGATTCCTTGTCAACCCAAACCTTAATATGTATTTTTTTTCTTATATTTATGATTTTGAATTGCAAGATAATTCTTTCTCATTTTATAAATATTTTATTTTATAAGACTTCAATTCAAAATTCTTAATTTGAAATCTCAAATACTTAACATTATGGGGTGCCTTGCAGAACCAACCTCTAATTATTTGAAACAACCTCCAAGATCAATGCTACCCAATAAATATACCAAAATTAAATTTATTTTTCAAAATAATTGTGAAGATCTACATCAAATCTTTGAAGTATTGTTCGTTTTAATTTGAAAGTCTTACGATTTTATCCCACATAAAATATTTTACAAATTTAGATTTAAATTTATATACATATATATCATAAGAGAATTTATATTATCCCAATATGAAATTAAAATGTCACAAACTCTTTATGTTAAAATTAGACATTTTGAAATTTCAATTAAGTTTAACACAAAATATACAAATCTACCGAATTATACTAAACGTTAAAAATTTAGAGATGATTTTATTATGTAATACTTAACTCCAGCAAGATTCTAAAGATGATTCTCATGACGTAACATTTAGTTCACGTTCATTTGATAATCACTTTGATATTATTTGTGAAAATTAGCACTCAACATGTAAAATATTATTTGTTTTGATTAAAAAAATCTTATGATCTTATCCTATAAAATATGTTTCACAAATGTATATTTATATATATATATATATCATAACAGAATTTAAAATTATTATGATATGAGATTTATTATCACAAAAATTCATCCAAATCAAATCAAAGAATAGTATCATGACCCTAGTGGTGTTTTATTTTTTTTAATTTTTTTAAACTAAATAACTTAAAAAATGGGAGAGGGCATGGTAAGAATAGGAGAGGCTGCTCTTATTTGACCACCACTAGCAACAAGTAAAAACTAACTCGGCTTGAGGAAGATGGCGATGTGTAACTGCGGCAACATCAGAGCTGCACCGTACAGCTAATCATCAACCAATCAAAACCCAGGGATGGTAAAACTCCAATAAAATATATTTGTGTATATAATAATACAGTAGTAGTACTGCAATTGACCTATCTGTCACTCTTTCTACTGTTACTACTTGCTATCTGTGTGAAACCAAAACCCTCTCTCCTTGCTTTCCTTATTCTTTTTTACCTTCAGTTCTCGTATAAATCTCCAAACCTTTGATATTAGTCAGATGTAGATCTCAGTTTGGATAAATAGTTTCGCTTTCTTCTAGCTCCTTTATAGACATTGAGTTGAGTTCTCAAGATTTTTCCTTCTTTCTTGCTTGTTTTTATTTTCTTTCTAAGGCATTTGAGGCATTAGTTCTTGTTACAGTTCTGGCTAAATTTCTAGTCCAGAAAAGGCAGTTTTTCGACATGGGTATTTTAATTTGCAAAGAGAAATCACAGTTTCAAAGGATTTTGATACTGGCAGCTTTGCTTCTGATCACATTTTCTGGTTTCATAGGAACTTCTGTTTTCTTTTTCTCCAATGAAATATGTATTTAACTTCCTTTTTTTTTTACTTCGAAAGTAATAAAGAAGCAAAATAGGGTTGGTGGTTGTTTTTGTATGTTTATAAAGATGATCTAGTTCAACACCTCAACTTGTTAGATTCTTCTTGGGTAGCTCTCACGTAATCACTTTATGTTTCAACCACTGGTAACAAGCCACATCAGCTAGTCCTTGTGGCCCTTTTTTTTTTTTCTTACCAAAATTTTTCATGATATTTGATGCTTTGGGTCAAACTCAAATGTTTCATTTCTCCTTTTTTCTTGCTCTTCTCTCCTCTTATATAAATCCCATATATATATTGAGTTTTAATGAGCCTCTCTATATTTCTATAGGTGCATGGATATTTGGATAGATAGATAGATTGACAGTCGTTGTTTGCAGGTGTTGCATCATCAAGATTCACATGCAAATGCACGGTGGTGATGATAATACTAACCATCTTTTCCCCTTCTTCCCTTTCTAATTTTATTGCCAAAGTTCTTTGAAAGTGAGAATCTTGATGATGCTGCATCGGCAATATTAAACGACTATACAAAAGAGAAAAATGACTCTTTCCCTCAGTTTCAAAGTACAGTTTGCCACTTTGCATTTCTACATCATAACATCAACAAAAACAAGATGATTCTCTCTTTGTAAGTTACCCTTCTCTCTTCTTTTTCCGTTGTTGTCAGGTGGGTATAGTATTTTTTTTTTTTTACTTACTTCAATCTTACTTTCACCCATTCAATAAAGGGTATTTTTCTTTTTGCACTTTGCAGGGTAAGGTATGACCATAACAAATAGTGTCTACAAGGCTGTTTGAAAAGGACTTTGACTTGCAGATCTATAATTATTCTTCTGAGCCATAGATACTGCTGCAGTGGAAATGGCTACTTTTTCGTGGAAAAGGTCTTTGCCCTGGAACTAAAAAAGGTAGAGCCTTGACATGAGATGCTATTGAGATAGAATATGTCAAAAAGGTGAATTTTTATCAACCCATGCCCGCTCCTCTCTTGTTGTGTTTATCTTTGCTTGGTGCTATTAAAAGAAAATTAGATTCATTCTTGTACTTTGCAGATCTTTGATTTTGATTATAATTTCATTAATGATTTTTGCTTGTGGGATTGCAGATATATAGGCCAAGGAACAATTTTTCTGATAAGGATGGTACTAGTTTAATGAGCTTCGATGAAGGCCAACTAGATGTTGGCTGGCTGCAGGAGAGTGGTTTGGGCAGAAACTGTGAAACTCTGGAAAAAGGTGAGAAGGAGGTATTTTAGATTTGTTTGTTTATGGATTTGATGATATCAGTTAACTAGCTTACTGCAAGTTTTTGGTTCTTCCCACCACCTTTGTCTTCACTTAGGAAAAGATTCAAAATATATTTGATTTTAAAAAGAAAATTTTGTGGACATTCTTCCATGTGGATTTTTGTCTGTAGAATTAGTAGATCGTTGAAAATTGGAACAGCTCTGCGGAACTTCAATGTGGGAGGAGCGATCATGGTGGTGGGAACATGTCACAGTCATTGCCATTGTTTGTGTTCGCATTAATCACCTATCATCCTTGTTGGTGGACCAACCACCAGAGAAGCATCTTTGCAACTTGGACTCTTAAACATGTTCTCTCTCTCTTTCTCTCTCTCTCTGAAGTCTATTCACTACTCCCACCTATTTTTCATCCCTTCAATAATACTAGTACCCCAGAAATTTCTTCATAATGTATATCTCTAATTGTGCTTCTTCATTCTTGAAAGTAATGACTCAGTTTACAAAATTATGGATATCATATCTCTGTTGAATTTATATACTGTAGCTCTTTGAGCCAGTTTCTTGTTTGTGTTTAGCAGAAAAAATCTTTCAGGGTTCTCATCTTGGTCGTATATATATATATAGCAAGTATTATATGTGGAACTTTGTAACTAGTCAGCATTGGAACTTGATCTCCAATCTGTTCTTCAATTAGTTAATCAAGCTCCCCTTAGTTCTCTGCCCGTGCGTGTGTAATCATCATTCACATGCCATTTCTAGTCTACTTTGTCCTAATTTGATCACATCTATCTCTCCGATTTTTAATTCAGTCCCTTATTTGAACTCCATACGCTTATAAAATTTATGATCATCACCTTTTCTTAGTGATATAGTGTATAGAACAATCATATCAACAACCAACTTGTTCAATATTTCATGTTCAGAAGTTAGCAAGCTAGCTAGCTTACAAATATAAGTGTGGATCTTTTGAATTTGACTTCTGGTGGGTATTTGTGATCTGGTATTCACTAAACTGCTCTTACAAACTCAACAAATAGTTCTAAACCTAATAAAACTCAATCAAACTTTCAATTTTGACAAGCAATATGCTAGGTTTGAGAGACAAGTTCAGAAAACTCTTGTTCTTCAACTTCAACTCTTGTCATGGGTTCTTCTATTTGGTAATTATTTCCTCCTTAATTTAGTCTTAATAAACACAGTATATATAGATGACTGGATTAGAAAATTGAAGTCTCATCATCTTTGATTGTTGGTCCCCATTTTAAATTTTCTCTGAAACTTCAAGAGAAAGATATATAGACAAGGGATCATGGTGGATATATATCGTACAATGTCTGCAGCTAGTGCGCTTATGCAGTTATGCATACCCGTATTGCTGTGTTTGATATTAGGACGACCTTTTTGTGATGAAGAAGAAGTTTGCTAGTGCTTCAATTATTATTGGTTTTTCAGCAAACATTGTTGACAGTTTATTCAATCAACTTACAACCCATTTTTTTCCTTGTCTTTACAACTTATGGAAACTGCAATATCTTTATCTACAACTATATGAGAAATATATTCAATTCTTTTTGTTGTTCAGTTTATGAGTTCGTAGTAAATGGATATATTGATGCCTTGGTCTGCACCACTAATGAATTCAGACCTCATCTGCCCGTTAAAATGAATTAGATTTTTGCTTGTTAGCCATCAACTTGGTTCTACCTTCGCCAAGATAATGATGAATCTTGAGACATTAAAAGGGACTTATTTATACTTGTTGGCATCCTGCATATGAGTTTTTGAGAAAATGGTAACTTGGATCCTCACTCTTTATGTACCTTGGCAGAACAAAAATCAGTTGCAAATTATATGAAACTTGAGACTTTGAAAGTAGTAACTCGAATCCTCACTTGGCATAAATTTTTATTTGGAAATGACTATTTCGTTCCAATTTGAGTTCATCCTGGGGAATCTTGACCGTTTCTCTTTGTTGGCAATGGAGAAGGAAAATAATGCTGACTAAAACGGAAAAAAACCAGACATTTTCAATCTGTTAAAAGGGGTTGGATCAATCATCTAGCAAGTGCTGCTCAGGCGGACACAAGCTTTTAAGTTAAAACCTTTGTACCAAAGAAGAGAAGTTTAAACCCAAAAGTTGCTCATGGCATTTATCAAAAAACAAAAATCAACATTTAAGCATCAGTGGTAGTTCCCAGTCATGAAATTATACATGAGAGCAGAAAGTGGGCAGGGGTTAGCAACCTGGACTAAATTACCTAGTAATTATACAAGCCGCAAAAGGTTATAAAGAAAACTATCAAATACCATGAACAAAATTATTTCACAACCGATGAGGGGCTCCAGAAAGTATGGGATCACTGATTATTGATCCATGCTTCCCCAAAGCTGGAATGCTGAGGGAGCGTTTTCTCATTTTAACACTGCCTAAAGTTTCCAATACCCTCTCGTTCTTCTCTGTAAGCAGAGAAGAGTAAGAGCATAGTGGCTCAGAAAACTGCTCACTTCTACTTCTAAGGAAGAGGTCCAAATTCTTGTTATATTTATCCCCTCTTGTGTGGGTTGCTTGGTCCGTGGAAAATGTCACTACCTTATCACGGGGGTCATCTTCATCGTCTGACCAGTAGCCATTCTCCTGCACATCCTGCATTGCTAGATCATCATACTCTTCATCTGACTTTGTTGAGCCTTCATCAACAGAGCCTACCTGTAGAACAGAAAAGAGGAAAAATTAGAGTAAAATCAAAACGGAATCTGAAATCAAAATATAAGTCCTTGTTTCATCTGGAATTCTAAGATGAAGACTTAAATTATAATAAAAATCTATGCGAATTAGAATGCAGAACCTAATGCCATTTCCATCATCCAACATTCATCAAAAAAATATCACTGAATCAAGCTTACATTTTAGATCAAGGAATAAGCCATGTTGTAAACATATTCCACATAACACAAATAATAAAGAACTAATAAGAACTCCTTTTGGTATTATTGCATGGCAGGTTGCAATGCCATTTGCAATTTAATCTCTAAAGATTAACACAATAATGATATATGCTTTTCACCTCTTCTAGAATCTAAGACATGCTCATACCTCTTCATGGACCTGTTTATCACCATCATCACTTAAATCCTCATCACTGTCCACCTCAGGTGGATCATCTACTTCTTCATCACTGCCATGCACTGAATTTTCCTCCTTTAGCTGTGAGATAGAGAGAGAGAGAATAAATAATCCAAGCCAAAAATAAGCATGGCATAAATATAAAAGAGAAAAAGAAAAAATTCCACACTATTAGTAGTTGGCGGTGACTTCCATTTGTTTATTATTTCATCTAATTTTCTAAACGCACATAAAAATAACCAAAAGCATTAACAAAGAGTATTTAAAAATGAAAAAAAATTGTAAGAAGCTACCTCCTTTGCAGGACCATCAGACATCCTTGGTGAGCTGCAGCAAGAAGATTGGTATCTACTGCCATTATCAGTCCCATCACATCTAAACTCATCTACACTTCCAGCACGACTTGTGCCACCATCACTAGGCCAGGCACTAATTCCAAAGTGACCAAATTGAAGATTAACAGGTTCAGCCTTGCCAATTTTTAAAGGTCCATATAATGGAATGCATCCACCCTCAGTCCCATGGCCAGAGATGGGCATTCTATTACTATCAACTGATTCAACTGGCCAAGCTTTGGCCACGGATCCATCAGTGTTAAGAAGAGCCATCAATTGCCTGGAAGAACCATTCCTCTGGATCAACTGAAACATTCCCTTGGAGCTCAGTGAATTGGCAGCACACTGATTCCTGTATTCCTCATCAACCACAGCAACTGTATTTGTTACAAGATCATAAAGTGGATCCCCAGCTCCACGCCTGCGGAGGCAACTGAAAACTGTTGCATGTATGGCCGCCACGCTTCTGTCAACATTTGTGTTGTTTATTTTGGGGACCAAATGCTTGTCAGCTCGTTTGCATAGATAATCTTGTATCGTCCTAATATTCCTTATATACTTCACATACTTATTTTTTGCAGGGTCCAACGTCATGTACTTTGCACGAACAGCAAATCTTTCTAAGTGTTTGTCTTCATTCGTAATGTATATCATGAATGGCATAATAGAGGGGTGTTTCTTCATTAGTCCCATCTGCACACAAAAAAGTTGATATAAGAATATAAGAAGTTTGGGGAAATGAACACATTTGATTGCAGGGGAAAAACCAAACATCTACTTACAACAAAATTAAGGCTTAAGTGAACACCCTCGACAACCACTGACTCTTTCCTCTCTTCCCATGCAGTAATCAGTCTGTCTAGACTGTCTATCACCATCTCACTTTGTGCCTTGAATCCTTCAACTGCCATCTGTTTGGGACCGATCAATTCAGTACAAGGAGAACCACTCTCCATTGGTCGGGCCTCCTTGCCAGTTGAAGAACAATCATCTTCCTCACCCTTAGGAAGTGATTGAGCAATGCCTGCCAATTTTTTTGCCTTTTTTTTAGCCTTCGCTTCGGCAACTGCAACAGGATCCAAACACTCCCCGGCATGGTAGGTCGAAGCCCAGAGTAGAGGATTTTCCTTCTCATTTACAAAACTCCTCATCATGTGGCGAATAGAATCAGTTGAAATCACAGTTGTTATTCCCAACCTGCTACCCTGCATGACATTATCAAAAGCACTAAGATAAGATATTTATGTTATTGCACTTACAAATGCTAGTGCCACACAACTTTAATATGCAAAGCAAAGATACCAATAAAGCAGACAAAGTAGATTTGCCACAACCACTAGTGCCACACAACAGCACAGTTACAGATTCCTTCCTCTCTCGGATTCTGCAGTCAAAACCAAATACAGTTACAAGGGGAGACAAGAAGGTTCTTGCATCTGATTTAAAGACCCCCAAGCATAGGACATTGAACAAGATCACTCTAAAAACCACTATCACAATCCCATATCAAATCATATATGTGCATTTGCTGCAACTAGGCATAAAAAATCTATATGTTACATTAAAAACTTATGGAATACTTATGATAATGAACTGTACTGTCTTATTGTTGGTAAAACCACTGAAAGGGGAAAAAAAGAAAAAGTTGGCAGACAAATGAAAAATCTATGGAGAAAATCATCTTGAATAGTCTATCTCTTGAAATATACTGTGGAAAAAATTGTCATGTCAAATAAGATCGAATAAATTAAAGTGTGAATTGCCAATCTGCAAGATACCAAAATCACCTCTGGAAATTATCAGCACAAGGCAAAAATTTAAAGGAATAAATGCAGATTCAACATGCAAGAAATTAATTACATGCCATTTATATTGCAAATTTTTTTGGTAGGTATAATATGTAACAGTCACACAATACCTGCATGCCATAACCAAGTCAGCCCTCTGGTTTGGACCCACATACTTATATTCAGCCAGAGCTTCACATACAACATCTAAGAAAGTTTCTCTTTTTATGACAATTGATGTACGTCTTTTGTACAACTCAAATGGTATACTCTTATTTCTATCATCTTTATCTGAAACTAAACGGCTGCCTGCCTCTGCTCTACAAAAGTCACCACTGGTAGGATGAACATCCTCCTTCTCAGAGTTTCCTTTGAAACCTTCAGAATTCAATGTCTCACTTCCCTCTTGAAGTAGAGAGTTGTAAGAAGGTTCCCTTCTTATCAATTCAAAAACCCTCTGGCTAATCTGGTAAGAAATACAAAGAGGACATTCATCCAAATTAGAAACATGAGAGAAAACCAATCATGTCAAATTAGAAAATTAAATATGAAATGACATATCACAACACCAACCCCATAAAATTATTAACAAATCAACTAATACTAACATCCAAAGAGATTGTGTGACAGAGAACCTGGACAGTACACAAGAATTCTATATACGCACCTGATAGAGGAAAAGACCAAGTCCCAATCTTGATATGCATACTTACACAAGGCAACTGTTTCAAGTCTAAACCTCCCAGTAAACACAATAATGAAGATCTCTATCTCCCAAAATGATGATGGGACCACATGATATAGAACAAGATCCACAACAAATAGGTGCCAACAAAAAAGGAAGCAAATCAAAATGATTCCATCTTAACTAATTTCAATGATTCCATCATTTGCAAAGGTCTGAAAGCTTTTCAGAAACAATAGGAACCTAAAAACCAAGCGATTCCAGCATCTTGTTTTAAAGGTAGACTAAGGAGATAAATATTCAGCAAAAATTCTATGACAGCGACAGAATGCGGATTTTTTTTTTTTTGAAAACTGGGAAGCTAAAAACAAAATGCTACTGTTGAATCGTTAAAATTCGTATAGTTTTGACTCGAAATTAAAGCTGAAAATCATGTAAAATTGAAAAGGAATTTACAGAACACGTTATAAGCAATCCAGATCTATCAACTCATCATCCACATTTTTAATTGATTATTTCGTAATTATAATATATCAATCAAACAAAAATATAAAAAGAAAGAAACTATTTATATCAATTTTTATCAATTGCTTGAAGTTTAAAAAAAAAAAAAAGGAATTCATCTAAATTCACAAAGCAAGAAGGAAAAGAAAAGGAAAACCTTGAAGGCATGACGAGCTTTGCAGCCCATGAGTTGGAGAGTGCTCTGAAGAACAGGACGCATGTACCGAAACGACGACGTCACCTTCTCTCTCCTCTCGCCTCCGTCCACCACCACTATATATAACACTTTCGCTAACTCTCCCATCTCTCTCTATCTCTGGCGCACCAAAAATAAAAAAAATAAAAGAAAATCAAAATCAAAACCAAAACCAAAACCAAAATGTCAACATTGTAAAATAAGGCAATGTAGGCGAATCAATGAAGAGCACTTGAGAAATCTGAAATCCAACCTCAATATTTACAGCGAAATCAGCCGAGAAAAGAAAAAAAAAAAGACCGAACGGAAATAAAAAAGAAGAGAGATTGTTAGGGTTTATTTTTTCTATATATCATGACATGCGGGAACGCCATTTTGAAGAACAAGAGAAGAAAAGTAGAGGGAAAGGATCGCTAGCCGTTTCTTGGTCGTGTCACCATTCTACCACGCATCACGCAAGCAAAGCTTCACGGGTCCTTTCGTTTCTTTCCTTTCCTCTCTCTCTTTTCTCTTTTACACAAGAACCGCTCGGGGGAAGATTTGCGGAGGAAAAGAAACAGACGGTAAGAAAGAGATCGCGCTCATGTTGGGCAACGAATTACGGAGATACGCGAGTAACGTGAGGGAACCGTTGGAGAGAAGGATATTTATATCTGCAAACTGAACGGGGATGAGTGTGGGCCCTTCTATTGGCACCATAATCGAGGAGTGGCAGTAGAAGTAATTTTTAAAAGAAGAAGAGGGTGAAACAATGAAAACAACATTTTGTCCTTGTTTCGTAATTAAGAAAAAATTATAAAAAAAAAAGTAAGGAAAAACAAATTAGCTTGTTTATATTATAAATAATATTGTTCTTTCCTTTTGAAATTGATAAAGTTGGAATCTTAACTGCTTTATGCTGCATTGGACTTTCCCCCTTCATTTCTTCTTTTGCTAATGCTTGGTTAAAGCAAATTAGCCCTTATTATGGAAAAAAATATAGATTAATGAAATTTTTCAAAGGAATCGATCATTAAATTGCGTTTACAATTATTATAATATGCCAATGGAATATGAATGTGATTCAAAGTTGGAAAAAAAATAAATAAATTTTTCCCAAAAATTTAAAAAACAAAAAATATATATATATAATTGATTTATATATTCAGCCATTGGCAATAAATCCATTTACTTTAACTAATCAACTCTTTTTGAATGATTCTCTTTCTTAAAAAATATAAAAAAATTTTACCCACAAAAATTAAATGTAATTGGTAAGGAGATGTATTCTAATAGGTCCTAAATCTAAATCATTAGACACAATTAATAAGTCCTTATCATTTTTTTTAATTAGATTTGATTTGTCTCTTAATGAATTTATTTTTTAAAAAAATATCTTAAATTTAACTAAAGATTTCTAAAAATAATAAGATATAATCTATTAACAAAACTAAATTTAAAAGTTAAGGTTATATACAAGAAAAGTTAAAGCACTCCTATAACACCTACACCATTAAAAATGGTACCTATTAATCTTTTATTATCCTAACATTGTTCTTAATTTATAAAATCTTATTTATTTACCCTTATTTGTTAATTAATCCAAACTTATTTTAGAACAATTTATTTTACTCAAAATTTCAAAAAATCCTCCCAATAACTTTGTTAAAATTAATTTAAAAATTTCTTCAACTAAAAATTTTTGAGATAATACCATTGGTGTTTCCCTCTTAATTCCATCATAGGACAACTTATGTAATTATAAAAATAAATTAAATTATATGAAACAAATAATATCTTAATTATTGTACAAATTTATTATACAAATTAATTTCATGATAAAAACAATAGAACTAATAACAAATTTGTTCAACATAATTAAAATTGAAAAAAAATCAAAATCCAAAAAAATTAGAAATAAAAATACAAGAACAAAGAAACGTGAATGAAAAAAAAATTAAATGAACATAAATAACTATAAAAAAAATAATGAAATAATGAGATAGAAACCAAAGACATAAATACATTATTATCGAATAGAATAAGCATCGAAAGCAAATTTAAATAATATAAAATAAATAATATAAAATTACTCAATCACGTGTGAATTAAATTAGTGGGGCAAGACTTGAAAGAGATGGTACCTCTACAAATTTTCGACTCGATTTGTTAGCTACTCTCCTATTCTGTTATCTACCCTACCAATTTTCTCTTCTCTTGCTTTTTTTTGTTTATTGAGTCAAATTCTTAATTATGCTTCTCGAACTAGATTACATTGCCAATATATATATATATATATATATATATTTTAAAAAAAATAGAAGGTCTTCAAAGAAATGTGAACCCAAAACCTTGTAGTATAACATGAAATTTTTATTGTGATTTTACCCTCGTTATCCAATCTAAACTTTTCATAAGGAGTTAATGATGCTTTGTAAAAATTATTAACTTAATTACAAGACAATGAGATGCTGACAAATTTTAATTATTAAATTTTAATTTAATCCACCTTTTTTTTTTTTTCTGTCCATTAATTCAAAAGTATTGAAGCATTCTACACGTACAAAATTTTTTCTTTATTGGTTGTTGAAATATTACTGTTTCTGATCAAATTTGCAGAATAAAAATTCTCCAAAAAAGAAATAATATTTTGATAAAATCGACTTTGGACATTTCCCCGACCGACCGATCTGCAATGGACAACCTTCGACCGTAACAAAGTTGATGATGCCGTAGGATAGCTGGTGACACAACTCTAGTGCACCCTCTATACTGTTGGACACATGTCACAAGCTGCGGTTGACGCGTGTTTTGCATGCTAACTCCACTTCTTTAAACTCTTCCAAAAAAAAGAATCATATATATATATATATATATAACTACTAAATATATATTCGAATATTTTATCAATTTTCTTAAATGCTTTGAAAAGAGAAATTAGGTATATGTTAAAATGCATCAACTCAATTATATGCATGAAAAAAAAAAATCATAACCGAGGGCCCCACTTAAAAATATTAAAAAGAAAAGGCAATGTGGGTTGAATATAAAAGTATTATTATAAATTCAATCAACAAAATTTTCCTTCAATTAAGGTTTTCTTTTTTCTCCTCTTTTTGTGTGTTATTGTTTCATTGTTATTTATGTAGAAATTGAGAGCGATATCTTTCAACGAGGACCCACTTGGCATAATCAAACTAATCTTGGGACAAATCTTTTGATAATTGTAGTCTAAATTGGCTTTTGTTCACACAATCTGACAATGACCTGGTAACTTTTTTTAAATCAACTGTGAGACGTGACTTTGAAATGGTCAAAAAGAGTTTGAATACATTCTCTAGATCCTGGCTTTACGTAACGACATTAACTAATCCATCTTAAAGAATTTACTTGTGACATGCCTAAATTAAAGTCCACGTGGAAGAGTTAGAGGAGAAAAACAAATTACATAAATAATTTATTCTCCAAATATTTTATGTGAATCTTGAATTATGATTGAGAAATTTTTTTCATTAATTAAATTATTTTTTTAATAAAATTATATATTTATATATAGGCATTTGAAATAATTTATTTATAATTTATAAAGAAAAAGAAGCAGGTTTATATTTCACGTGTTAATAGCCTGATTGCCGAAAGCCTTTGACGAGGCAACACGTATAAAGTCTGTCCAAGTACAGTGAATGACAGAATGCCCAAAAAAAAAAAAATGTGGGCACACAATTCAATGAGCTGACCCGTACTGTTGGCCCTTCTCTGGTGTTTGCGCCAAAAGAGACTACGGGTGTGGGCTCCCAATCCCAAACTCCCATAAGATTTTTGTTTTTTTATCAAATTAAATTTAATAATTTAAAATATAATATAATTATATAATACAAATATAATATAAAATAAAATAAAAAAATAAGACAATTTAAAAATTTAACAATAATTATATATAAATTTAATAAAATCAAAAATATATATCTTATATTTTTATATCGACACAAATTATAATATATAATTAATTTAAAATATAATATAAATACATAAATTTTAATATTTTACACGATAAAAATATATGAATAATGTAATATATATTAAATTGCCCTCTTATTCGTGGGAGATAAGAATTTCGATGTTTAGGTTGAAAAAAGTAATTTTCAAGAATATATTTATCTTTGTGAAATTATCATATAAGAGGAGATCATATATAATTTTATACAAAATTAAGATAATGAATTTGATTTTATATTTACGTTCACTTTTTTCAAATTATTGAAAGCAAATTTATGTAATTTTCCATTTCAATTGACGCAAAATGGAAAAGAAATGACATTGATTCAATCTTTGCCACCTTTTTACATATGTTTCAACGGTTTAAAACTCTCACTCCTCATGTTTCGCCCTCTCTTTTCTCCCTACCATTTCTTCCCTTACAAAAATCCATTCATTCAAACAACCCTTTTTTCCATTTCCCATCTCTCAATTCATCATTGATCAAATTTGTTACTGTCCAGCTTCTTGATCTTGGTCACATTATTGTTTACTTAATTTGTTTCTAACCGCATGCACAAATATATAGTTTTTTTTTCTTTTCTCATTTTTGGTTTCCTTGACGTTTAAGTAATTAAAATGACCTTAAAGAAGATCCATGCATGGAAAATTCTTTACGTTTTGACATTGATATCTAGTTTTTTGCTTCATGTTGTTTGTGAAGATGATCTTGATGACTATGACAGTGATCAGGATTTCAACAATGACAACTCGGCTGCAGTTCAATTATTCTCTAACCTTGCTTTCAACCAATTCTCTAATATTTCTTCTGTCTTCAAGGATGATATCAATGAACAATTTGGTTTTTGCGTTACTGATGTGTAAGCCTTCTTCCAAGCTTATTTCTCAGCCTTTTTTTTTTTTTTTTTAAATTTTGTTATCATAACATAATCAATGTTACATTGTTTTTTATTGCAGGGATGCAGATTGGAATGAGGCATTCAATTTCTCAAAAAACACGAATTTCTTGGCCAATTGTGCCAGAACAACTAAAGGTGCAAATCAATACCTTCAAACTTTATATGTTTTTTAATGTTAAATCTCCAGTTAAGATCATTCAAATTAAAAATTTTTTGGCACGTTTCATATGTTTGGGGGTTCAATAGGAGACATGATGCAACGCCTGTGCACAGCAGCAGAAATTAAATTCTATTTTAACAGTTTCTATCAGAGTGGAGGTGAAGCAAAGAAGGCCAGTTTTTTGAAGCCTAATAAGAACTGTAATTTATCCTCCTGGGTTTCCGGATGTGAGGCAGGATGGGCATGTAGTGTTGGTAAAAACAAGAAAGTTGATCTGAAAAATTCGAAGGACATTCCTGTTAGAATCCAGACTTGCTCACCTTGTTGTGCAGGATTCTTCTGCCCTCGTGGAATTACTTGTATGATACGTAAGTATTTGGTGACTCTGAGAAAATCAGAACAGGAATTTTTTTTTTATATCTGCCATTTCAAAATTCCTGAGCTCATTTTTTGTTTTGCATTTGCCTCATCATTACTGAAGCTTGTCCATTGGGTTCTTATTGCCCACTTGCAAAGCTCAATAAGACTACTGGCATATGTGACCCGTAAGTTCATTCTTGTTTTAACATTCATTCAGAAAAAGAGAGTTATGATTTCTTCTGCTTTAGCATACCTAACATCAGTAGCAGAACTCCTTTGCAGATACCGTTATCAACTACCTTCTGGTAAGCCAAATCATACATGTGGAGGAGCTGATATTTGGGCTGATATTACGAGTAGTAGTGAGGTATTCTGTTCAGCAGGATCATACTGTCCGACTACTGTCCAAAAAATTCCTTGCGGTTCGGGGTAATTGATATTTATCCTACAGCACCTAGCCCTTATCATAGAACACTTATTTGTTTTTCCTTGCATGTGTCAACGGCATCTGTTTCATACTTTCTGAAATACCATTATTTGTTTGTTTGTTTGTTTCAGATATTTCTGCAGGGCTGGTTCTACTGCTCAACAAAGTAAGTTTTTCCTCAAATAGTTTACTGTAAAATTGAGACTTGTCCATTGACAAATGATAATGCTTGAAAAACTAGATAGGAGTATTCTCATTCTAAAAATGAGAATGCAGATACCTGTGTCTGTGGCACAACACTGGAGTTTATTTTCTCTTATTACATGCTTTTGACTCAAATTTACTCGATCATCATGACCGATACGATGAAACTATACTCTGATATATGTTACTAAGAAAGCCTGATTCGTGTAACATTTTGTATGTCACATTTCTTTTCCTTCTCTTATGGTGTGACAGAGACCATGTAACCTTACCAATTGAACTTTTCAGAGTGCTTCCGGTTGGCAACTTGTAATCCAATGTCAGCAAATCAAAATATTACTGCATATGGCCTCCTGATTTTTGTGAGTAAGCAGCTTACCTTTTGATTATAAACAATGTGGCTTTATCATTCATCGGCTAAAATCAAATTGCAAAGTTCATTTGCTCTTTCTGAATGTTTTCGGAGATTAGTGGCTGATTTCTTCACTGACGTAAAATACTGACTCTTGAATTTATAAATCATAATCCAGACACAATGGTCAAATACTGACTCTTGAATTTGACAATGTAGGCTGGATTAGGTTTCCTACTTGTCATTATATATAACTGTTCTGATCAAGTTCTTGCAACTCGAGAGAAGAGAAAAGAGCAATCCAGAGAGAAGGCAGTTCAGAGTGTAAGAGACACTGCCCAAGCTCGGGAAAAATGGAATTTTGCAAAAGACATTGCTAAGAAGCATGCAATTGGGCTGCAAACACAGTTATCACGTACATTTTCCAAAAGAAAATCTCAAAGGCAACCCGACCTAACGAGAGGTGTGAGTCAAGCAAAACCTGGAACAGATGCTGCCTTAGCCCCCTTGCCTTTCGGTACATCTCATCAATCAAAAAAGAAGGAAAAAGGGAACCTCACAAAGATGTTACATGAGATGGAAGATAACCCTGAGAGTCATGATGGCTTTAATATAGAAGTTGGAGATAAAAATACAAAGAAAAATCCACCAAGGGGTAAGCAATTGCATACTCATAGCCAAATGTTCAGGTATGCATATGGTCAAATAGAGAAGGAGAAAGCTCTCCAGGAGCAGAACCAGAACTTGACCTTCTCCGGGGTGATTTCAATGGCCAACGATATTGATATTAGAAAGAGGCTTACAATGGAGGTTGCCTTCAAAGATTTAACTATCACTTTGAAAGGAAAAAACAAACATTTAATGAGGTGTGTAACTGGGAAATTATCGCCTGGTCGAGTTTCAGCTGTTATGGGTCCATCTGGGGCTGGAAAAACAACGTTTCTTTCAGCTTTAACTGGAAAAGCACCAGGTTGTGTCATGACTGGTACGGTTCTTATAAATGGAAAAGTTGAGCCAATCCAAGCGTATAAGAAAATAATTGGTTTTGTTCCACAAGATGATATTGTGCATGGAAACTTGACAGTGGAGGAAAATCTATGGTTCAGTGCTAGATGCAGGTATGCCACACTTATTTCACTCATGCAGGAACCCTTTAATTGTATATTCCTTTAGTGTTTTTTCTTTTTTGGTGATTTCTACTTGCAAGCAACTGCTACATTAGAAAACATTCTACACAAAAAAGCACTTTCTTGATTTCCCCTGATCACTGACTGGATTCCTAATTGTTTTAGACTTGAAGATGACCTGCCAAAACCAGAAAAAGTTCTAGTTGTTGAAAGAGTCATCGAGTCCTTGGGACTGCAGCCTGTGAGGGATTCTCTAGTTGGGACAGTGGAGAAGAGGGGAATCTCTGGGGGTCAAAGGAAACGAGTAAATGTTGGACTGGAAATGGTCATGGAACCTTCACTTTTGATATTAGATGAACCAACGTCTGGTTTGGATAGTTCATCTTCCCAACTACTACTTAGAGCTCTTCGGCGTGAAGCCCTTGAAGGAGTAAACATTTGCATGGTCGTTCACCAGCCAAGGTGAGTTTATAATCACAGGAATGTCGAATTTTATGAAATATGCTGGTTTTACCAAGGAATAAACATGTGTTAATACGCTAATCTTACTCATAAGTAGTGAAAATAATGGATACCAACTTCCTTTTTTTTTTTGTTGCATTTCAGTTATACCTTGTTCAGGATGTTTGATGATTTGATACTTCTGGCAAAGGGTGGACTCACAGTTTATCATGGATCAGTAAAGAAAGTCGAAGAGTATTTTGCTGGCCTAGGAATTACTGTCCCTGAACGTGCAAATCCTCCAGATTACTTCATTGACATTTTGGAGGGTATAGTAAAGTTAAACACAAGCACAGGTTTGACTACTAAACAACTGCCAGTAAGATGGATGCTTCATAATGGCTATCCTGTTCCCATGGATATGCTGAAGACTATTGAGGGAATGGCAGAATCATCTGCTGAAAATTCAGCTCATGGAGGAAGTGCACACGGTCCTGGATCTGAAGGACAGTCCTTTGCTGGCGACTTGTGGCAGGATGTGAAATGTTCTGTTGAGACAAAGAAGGACAACTTACAACATAATATCCTAAAGTCAGTTGACTTGTCACAGAGGAAAACGCCTGGTGTATTTAAGCAGTACAAATACTACCTTGGAAGGTAGATGTTGAATCTTTATTACTCTTTCAACTTGTTTTGTGTGATCCATTTTTCTTCATCTTTCCATCTGTTGTATAATCCACCTAATTGGGTTTTGAAGAAAAAATTATCTGACTCTCTTAGGAACTTGGAGAAATAGGAAAAAATGTGATCTTTAATGTTGTTCATGCTAGAACTTTATCAGTTTGTTTTGAATTTTGATTACAGTGAATGATTCAGATTATTTAACCTATTATGTCTGGCTTCTTGGCAGGGTTGGAAAGCAACTGTTAAGAGAAGCTAGGACACAAGTTGTAGATTATCTAATTTTATTGCTTGCTGGAATTTGCTTAGGAACACTGGCTAAAGTGAGCGATGAAACATTTGGTGCAATGGGTTATACATACACAGTTATTGGAGTTTGTAAGTTAAAAACTCCCTTTAATGTACTGGAAATGCAATGCTAGCTCCCCTGTGATTCAGCTCCTTGGAGCTGTGAACAGAGGGACAATCAAAATTTCACAAGATTAAAATATTTATTCCATTCGATTGCTTTCAGCTCTCCTATGCAAGATTGCAGCTTTGAGAAGCTTTTCTCTGGATAAGCTACACTACTGGAGAGAGCGTTCTTCTGGAATGAGCAGCCTGGCTTACTTTCTTGCAAAGGATACAATTGACCATTTCAATACAATAATCAAGCCTCTGGTGTATCTCTCAATGTTCTACTTCTTCAACAATCCAAGATCATCTGTCACCGATAATTACTTTGTCTTAGTCTGTCTGGTATACTGTGTAACTGGCATAGCCTATGTATTGGCCATCCTTTTTGAACCCGGTCCAGCTCAACTGGTAAGAAATGTTAATTTTTCTGATAATCCTCTGTTCTTTCACTTACAAGTTACTTTTGCTTGAATGCAGTGGTCAGTGCTTCTTCCAGTTGTTTTGACTCTGATAGCAACACATGACGATAACAGCAAGGTTGTTGATCGTATAGCCGACATGTGCTATACTAAGTGGGCATTGGAAGCCTTTGTGATATCGAATGCTAAAAGGTTTGAAACAAATATCAGTTTCCTGTGTCAGATATCAATACTGACTGATGATTATGATTAAAATTCATCTTTTTCTGCTTGCTTTTAGATATTCTGGAGTGTGGCTGATAACTCGATGTGGTTCACTTCTGCATAATGGATATGATCTCAACAATTTTGGTCCTTGTCTGATCTACCTTGTCCTAACTGGTATACTTAGCCGTACTGTTGCTTTCGTTTGTATGGTTACCTTCCTAAAGAAATAAACTCAAACCTTTCTTGTTTCCTTTCTTTCTTTCTTTATTTTCTTACAATCCAGCGTCCGTACATGATGAATCAGAACAAATTTACAATAAATTAATTAATATCTGTGTTTTGTTGAAGAAACAGAACAATAAAACTCTGTATTTTTTTCACTTCTGTCAAAATCAATTGAGCCTACCTACAAAATCAATAGTAATAAAATTTAAATTTTAAAAAAAAAAATTTAGATTTAACGGAGCCGCCATTTTTCCAAATCATCTGGGCGCCAACGAAACCGAAATACCTTTTGGAATTTGCACATTGTCCGACCAAATCCTCGAATCCAGATAAAGCTTCGAAATCTTACCTGCCACCCGTCCCATATCCGGCCGTTTATCCGGATCCACGTGTACGCAATCCAACGCTAGACGTAACAACTTCAGCGCCACGTCGACTGGAAATGAATCATTCAACCTTCTGTCAATCCACCTCCTCACGCCTTCTCTTCCCTCCGCCGCCGCCGCTGCTGCCGTATCTATCACAGACGTCCGTAGAAAATCACCTGTCTTTTTATCATACCGGTATTTTAACGGCTCCTCCCCTGACAATAGCTCCAAAATCACCACTCCAAAGGCGAAAACATCAGATTTCTGTGTCGCGACGCCGCTGGACCTGAACTCCGGCGACATATAACCTCTCACTCCTTCGAATTGCATCTCTCCACTATCAGATCTTTTCAATTTACTAGAACTCGCCCCTTTACCTTCTTCGATTATTTCTTCGATTTCTGTTTCGCGTTTCAAAGAGCCGATTTCTCGCGTTTCGTTCTCGTCCGTTTCGCCACAAAGCTGTGCCGTTCCAAAATGGCAAATCTTGGCATTAAAAGAAGGCTCTATAACGATAATGCTACTGCTCTTAATGTGATTATGAACAATACTAAGATTTAATCCGGTGTTGTTGTGAACATAATCGAGGCCGTGAGCGAGGTCAGTGGCGATCTGCATTCTCGAAATCCAGGTCGAGAGAACAGTAAAGCTCGGATTTCTAGGGTTTCTCAAGCACTCAACGAGATTCGATCCTTCTTTGAACTCATAAACAAGGTAAATATGATCGCCAGAGATGGAAACACCGAGGAGTTTGATTATACTCATGTGATTGCTTCTACAAATGATGGATAATCGTTCTTTGAGTTGAGCGGTTTGAAATTTGCGACGAAACTTGCGTTGGAAAACAACAGTGTCACGGCCGCGGAGGTTGCAACGCCAGCAGGCGGCGGAGGAGGCAGAGGAGGAAGAGGGGTAGCGTTTGGCCAAGAAGTTGTTGGTGGCGGCTCGGATTTCGGTTATGTCGTAGATGTGAGGATTTTCCGAGATCGATTCGCGGAGGCTTGAGAGCGAAGTTCGGCTTGAAATTGAAGTCCCCGACGACGTCGCTTTAGTGTGAGATGAAGTGGAAGTGTATGCTGCGCTGGTGGTAGGATTGGAAGTGGAGGGAGTTTGGGACTGACTCAACCGACTTGATGAAGTTCGAGGGGGCTGACTCGGGCGAGTTCGGGACGAGGTAGGTTCCGACGCGTTGACTGCCATTTTAGTTTTGCACATAGAAGAGGTGAAGAGGATGAAATTGAAAAATCAAAAAACAAAAGGGTGAGTTTGGCGTTAATTGATCTGCTAAATGTTTTGAAGGGCCAAAGAAGCAGAGTGGGATGACGATGGTGTTTTGTAAAACGCGGTGAGGCTGAGAAAGGAGAGGGCGGTGCTGCTGCTATCCTGCTCATGTGGAAAAGGCGCAGGATAGCTCATTAGATTCTCGCCCACCAGAAAATTATGGCAAATTTTTGTTTGTTTCTTTTCAACAATTAAATTTTATGAATTTATTTCAATCGAGCTCAAAAGCTGACACGACACGAAGATGAAAAGCAAAGGGTAGGCCGGTTGGGTTTTTTGACATTTTTCTTTTTAAGTTTCTAATTTAAAAAAATTATTGTATCCATTTATAATGAAGTTTTTACCGTTAAAATTAATTAAATAATACATATTTTTTGGTATAATAAAAAATGAAAATAATTAAAAATAATAATTTTTTAATCCCATTTATAAAGTGGAAAAACTTCATTATCATTATTTTGTTTAGATAAATCAGGGAAGTTGAAATTAGCAATGGTTGAGTCTTAGTTGGAGAATTAAAGAAGAATTAATTTTGACAATAGAGTAGAGGGGAATGCAGAAAATTAACAGATTAAATTGAACCTTAGGGCCCAATGGACACAAGGTTTTATGGAGAATATCAATTATCTTTTATATTTTTAAATTTTAAGTATGAGCAGATATTTAACATTCTCACTTTTCAAGAATGCTGCAAATCAAATACATAATCTTTGACTTAAAAATAACTTTAAAGCAATAATGCAAGATATTGGAACTAAAAATCAAATATAGTGATGGTAATGGATTTTTCTCGTTTCGAATTTTATTTTTTTTATAAAATAAATATTTGAATTTAATCCAACTTAATACTAAAATATTATTTTTTATATATAAATTTATAATTAGTTTAATTTAATAATTTTAATTTAATATAATATTATAAAATATTATTTTTAATATAAATTATATATTAATTATACATAAATATAATATTTTTATTAAGTTAACATTTTAAATATAATATTGTAGAAGATTTTATTACAATAATAAATATATAAATATAAAATTTAATAAATAATTAAAAATACTTTTTATATATGTTAAATTAAGACGGGACGAGATTACTTAAAATTCAATTTCAACTCGAATCTTATTTCATTTTAAAAAAATTTCAAATCCTACTCAAAATCCAATTTAACAAAAAAAACTATAATAACGGGTTGAATTCAGGTATTATTGTCAACCCAAACCAAATTGCTTGTTCCATGCCATTGCAAAAAAAAGATACTCATCTTAATGACAAAAAAGAGTAAAATGTAGGGACCAGTTGGAGTCGTCAACTGCTGGAAATTACAACTGAGATTTTGTTAAAAATTAGGAATTTGACATCTGTTCATTTAATAGTAATAAAAATAGAGTTGACTTTTTTTGTGGACATTGCCCGACCTTTTCGCTCGTTTGACAGAGCCGAAGGTGATGGAAAATCATAAAGCCCACAGCCTGGCTGCGTGCGGTCATCCATGAGAACTGGGTTTCGGGGAGCAAATATAAAGAGTTTACTTAAAATAAATATTCCAAGTCATTGGACGAACACAGCATCGCTGTGGACATTTCATCACAGTCAATTTAAAAAAAAAATTTGGTTAAGAACCAAAAGTTTCAATGTTTCACTATCATCCGACGTGTTCTTTAGGTTTTGGTTTGTTTGATACTCGAACCTTATCTTGAAGCATCATAATAGTCTTACACGACATGACTACAAATTTTGTTGGGCTAATGACAATCTTAAATTGTCAAAACAAAATATTTTATAAAAATAATTAAATTAAATTTTAAATTCAGTTTCAAACACCGAAATGATTAATTTTTTGCCGACTTGAATACAGTTTCACAGTACTATATATTTTTGTGTAATGGCACAGCCGTGGAGTCAGTTTGAATGTTTAATTTGGACTTGTGGCCGGAAAACAGAAGTTTGACCAAAAGTTTTCTCCTTTGCGGCTGCATTCTTTTCGTTACTGCCGCAGTTCGACAAGTTAATTATCGCTTTCCATTGATGGTATTGTAGCCATTGACAAATCGGATGCAACTTGTTGCAACGTGACAGTTAGCATCCATGAGTCGGCGCAGTGGCTGATACATGAATCCAGGCCAAGCAATGGAGAAAGGAGTCCTCTATTTTACCTGAAGGCTGTAGCTAGAAGAGTCGTATTAGAGATTAGAGTTAGACCCAGCCTGTATATTTGTGCTTTAGTTTGAGTGGCAAAGCAAAACTCTTGCTTGGCAAGTTGCAAACATCTTTACAAAGGTCGGCTCCCGATCCCACTACCCAAATCATTTTCAATTGAGTAAAACTTCGATTAAGTGACTTCTATTATCCCAAGGTGAATTGGGTTTAATTATATAAAAAAAAAACTATATATATATGAAAAATAGATAAAAAATTTTAAAGATGAATGTTTTGGCTTATTTTTATTTTTAAAAAATTATTGTTAAATTTAAAAGTGAAAGAATTCTAATTAAAAAAAAATAATGAACTATATATTTAATTGCATTCCGAATAAAGCAGTAGGCAGGGGATGTATACAAACGAATTAATGAATTTATTAATTTATGTTTTAATTAAATCAGTAAATCGCTTTTCTAGAGTTTGGCCGTCACTCAATGTTTTTTAAAATTAAATTTTTTATGTATGCATATAAATAGGATTTGTTGAAAAGATGTAAGGTAAGCTGCAAATAAAGGATAACAGGATGAAAAAGCTTCCATAATTTTTTAATTTAAATATAAACACAAGTTATAATCATAATTAAATATTATATCTATATTTAAGAAATAATTGAATAATCAAACAAATAAATTAAAACATAACCAGATAAATCTAACACAAAGTTAAACTAAACCCATATTTAGTCAAACTTTGGACCTAAGACGTCAACGTTCTAAGATATTTTTTATCACCAAATCAAAACCTCATTATCTCCATAATCTTAATTTATAGAAAATATTACACTTTTTCAACAAATCATTTTTATTTAGAATCACTTGAAAACCATAATATCATAAATTATTGAGTTAATATTTGATGAATTTACAATGTATAAGTGTTATACACGGTCAATCAATCTTATAATAACATCTTATCAATGAACAAAAGTAATTAAGTTTTTAAAAATAAATACTTGCTTTATTTCATCTCTTGTATAGTGTAATTAAATTAAATCATTAGAAAATTGTGATAGAAATTAATTAAGGAAAAAAGTGAAAACTATTGAAATCGAGATTATCAAACATGTTTAAAAAGAATATTGTCTGAGGGTCAAATATATATATTTTTTTTCATAGAATGAGGGAAACATATATATATCGCATTTATATAATTTGTTTTATATATTATTTTCTTATAGCTGATAGAAAGCTTACATAAAAGATGTTACATAAGCTAGTAGCCAACTTATTTCGTTTTCCCTCGAACTCTAATAAAAAGAAACCCTAGGCTATGGACCAAGTCACATTTTCAAATAAAAGGATCATTAACGAGCCCTAACCCTAATGATCTAAACACAGCTGGAGATCCAACAATAATGTCATTCCCACAAGGGGGTTGAAATCCATTCTCTCTATTACACCCATGCACAGAATCGCACTCATCAACCACCTTAGCAGTCGTGCTTTTCCCATTAATAGTAGTAATTTTTATTGTCACCCCACACCTTGATCCATTATTATACCAACCTGTGGACAATGCCACTACACTCTCAGAGTCCATATGATACTTTCCATCACATAATGATGGACCACTCTTATGATTGTTGAAATCTTTGTATGTTAAACGAGCTCTTGTTGAAAAATTGACTTGTGGAGAGCAAGTGTAAGTTGAATATCTTTGGCCCCTACATATAACGATACTTGAAGGCTTACAAGTTGAAGGTGATAGTGGAGGTGGTGGCGGCGACCTTTTTGGTGATTGAGGTGGAGGTGGTGAGGGTGAGGGTGAGGGTGAGGGTGAGGGTGAGGGTGAGGGTGGGGTGGAGGTGGTGGTGGGAAAGTAAAAGGTGGATGTGGGGTAGAGTTGCTTGGTGGTGGAGGTGGAGTAAAGTTCTTAGGTGGTGATGGTGGTAAAGGTGAGCGTAGGGGTGGAGGTGGAAGGGGTGAGTGTGAGGGTGGAGGTGGAGGCCGGGTAGAGTTCCTTGGAGGTGGTGGTTGGAATGTAGGAGGTGGAGGCGAGGTAAAGTTCCTAGGTGGTGGTGGTGGTGGGAATGTAAAAGGTAGAGGTGGGATAAAGTTCTTAGGTGGTGGAGGTGTGGTAGAGTTTCTAGGTGGTGGAGGTGTTGAAAGTGAACGTGGAGGTGGGGGTGGAGGGGGTGAGGGTGAAGGGGGTGGTGGGGTTAAGAGTGAGGGAGGAGGTAGGGGTGAAAGTGAGGGTGAAGGTGGAGGTGGAGGTCGAGTAGAGTTCTTTAGAGGTGGTGGTGGGAATGTAAGAGGTGGAGACAAGGTAGAGTTCCTAGGTGGTGGTGGTGGTAGAGGTGAAAGTGGGGGTAGAGGTGGAGAGGGTAAAGGTGAAGGTGAAGGGGGCGGTGGGGGTGAGGGTGAAAATGGAGGTGTAGGCCGGGTAGAGTTTTTTGGAGGTGGTGGTGGGAATGTAGGAGGTGGAGATGAGGTAAAGTTCTTAGGTGGTGGTGGTGGGAATGTAGGAGGTGGAGGTGGAGGCGAGGTCGAGTTCCTAGGTGGTGGTGGTGGGAATTTAGGAGGTGGAGGTGGAGGTGATGTAAAGTTTCTAGGTGGTGGTGGTGTTGAAGGTGAGCTTGGGGATAAGGGTGGAGGGGGTGAGGTTAAAGAAGGCGGTGGGGGTGAGGGTGAAAATGGAGGTGGAGGCCGAGTAGAGTTTTTTGGAGGTGGTGGTGGGAATGTAGGAGGTGAAGTTGGAGGTGGGGTAGAGTTCTTAGGTGGTGGTGGTGGTGGTGGTGGTGGTGGTGGTGATGGAGGTGAATGTAAGGGTGGAGGTGGAGGCGAGGTCGAGTTCCTTGGTGGTGGAGGTGTAGCTTTGCAAAATTTTATGCTCACAAGAGGACTATCAACACATATAAATTCATTGCAAATGAGTTCACCCATGCAATCTTTTTGGTTTTGACATGGCCCGTAGCAATTGGAGGCGGCATTTGAGAGTAAAGGAGAAAAGATGATTGTGAACGATAAAAGAAAAGAACCAAGGAGCAATGCGTTTGCCATAGAAAAATTGATAAAATCTTGTGTTTAGAATGGGATGAATGAGAAACTTGTGCTACTATTTATAGATAGATCTGGCACGTAAACTTTAATTACCACTAAAATTCTAATATTTGGTGTCTCGATTTTCTAACAATAAATAGATATAATTATCATTTAAGTATTAAAATTGATGGCTTATTAATTTAACTATCTACTTGCAGAAATCTTACTTTCTTTTTTTTAAACTAAATGAATAATATATTATTTTATAATAAAACTTATTAATACAATGACAATTATAAAATTTTTTAATTTTACAAATAAATTTATAGTTTTACCAAGAGTTCATTTAGTATTTATATTAATTTTTTAAACCTAATGAACATGTGATAATTTATACATAGAAATGATTTTGAATTTATAAATTCTACGTCAACGTTTAAGATTATTTTCCTTTATAGTATAATAATTTTAGTTTTGTGAATACATCGTTTGATTTAGTTGCTATTTAAAATTTTGAGTTGTTTATATAATCGCTCGACTGAATTTATTGAAAAAAAGTATAACAATTTCCTATATATATTAATTTATGTAGTTTAAAAAATAGAAAGTAAAATAATTAATTAATTTTAATTTAGGATTATGTAGGATTTATTAAAATTTTATACATAAATATGAGGTTGACTTCTATATAATTTTTTATTATGACTAAATAATTGTAAGATTGTAATAAAAATAATTATAAATAAAATGCTCTTTTTATTTTTTATACTATTATTGCACTGACATTATTTATCCAATCGTATCAATTTTAATGTTTGAAAATTAAAAATTTTATAAAAATTTATTAATAAAAAGATTCAACCTTATCATTTTAAAATTTAAAATTTTAGTCACTTCATCTTATAAATTTATACCAACAAATTTCTGCAATAAAAATATTCCATTTAAATATGTTTTCAAATTTAATAAATTAAAAATAAAACAAAATCTTTAAAAATATAAAGCACAACACTGGCAAGATTATTAATTAGGGTTCATCAGTGGGCTAACCGGCAGGAGCTAGTACTTTCAATGGGGCTGGATATTGATCTCTGCGAATGATGCCATACCCTATTGGCCTTATTAATTTGGATTGGGTTTCAACAATTTAAGGAATTTTAAGTTCTAATTAAGCCTCTAATTAAGGTCGCCCAGGGCCATAACTCGAGTATGCAGCCTACCTAGGTTTGGGTTCGGTGGATATTAACAGCGATTAATTAAGCTCTTTTAAGGCTCTTTGAGGGCTTAAATCAGGCCATGTATTCTACCAACATGCAACAAGTAACAATGTACTACACAGTTAGGTAATGTTGGAATTCATTTTAAAAAAATAATTTTGGAATTCAAAAGTTTTCACTCATTTCTGTGATTAAGATCGGATAAAATTATTTACATGAAATTTGTAAATTTTTTTTTTATTAAAAATATTAATTGAAATTTTAATTTAAAAATTTAAATGAATAAGTTGAAACATTTTCTTATATAAAATGTATATGAATTTTCAAATAATTTAAATAGATTTTTTATTAAAAATTCTTAGATTTTTCATTATTTAATAAAATATGATCAAATTTTATGTGTAGATGATATTTTCAATTAAATTCTTTTATAATATTTATTTTTTGTCAATTTTATCAATTTAATTTTCATGTTATTCGTTTTAACAAAAAAATCACAAATCTAACCTTAACCTAAAGAATTTCATCTAAATTCTTTTCCGTCATGGTATTTAATTACTCTGCAGGACTTTGCTCACATAAAAGTTTCCAATTTTACGCTTGAGCTTATGTTCAAGGGAAGGATTTGCAATCTTCTTGTAATTATTAACTAACCCATTGTTGTATATAAGCCATGAAAGAAAAATACCTTCCTAAACATTAAAAAAAAAAAAATCCCTAAACGGCAAAGTTAAGGGAAAAAAAACCAGTGCTCATGCAGTCAATGAAATTAAACAACAACAGGATTAGGCCACTGTACATTTGCCTAACTTACATTAGCCATCCGCCCATCCATTAATTATTAGAATTGCTTACCATTAATTTTTCACAGCTAAAGCCTAACACCGCAAGCATGCCGTTAATCAATGCGGAAGCCATAAATGAAGATATTTTTTCTTGCATTTCTTATAAAATAAACTTTCAATTATTTATAGATCTTTGTATTGTTGTTTTTCTAAAGCCATACTATGTCGTGGACAAAAGCGACATCCACATTTATTGGGACCTCAAAGCACTCCACACTGCAGATCTACATCAGGACGCGACCGTTATTCATTCGGTGGACGATGGCAGTATTCGCTTCAGCGGTTTATATGATAATTTGCCATCAAATTCAGATGGACCCTGTCCTCCGTCACCTTCGCTGAAATCATTGTTTGTGGGGGATAAGCTTGGCCGTCGGATCGAAGGGAGCCTGAGGGCTGGCATTTGGTTTCAGGGCCTGCAGGCTTGGAACTAAAGATGGTAACGGATGAGTATTTTTTTTAGAGATAGGTGCTTTAAAATTTTTGTTCTTTAAATTGGATAGTTTTAAACTTACTTCTTTTAAAGGAGATACTCATGTTAATGTCACATCGACTGTTATATCGATTTTTAATAATTATTTAAATTATAAAAAATTAGAAGTAAAATCTTTTATCATTTTCAATTGAGGATGTTTTGGGTTTTCCAAAGCTTCTTCGTTCCAGGATCCAAACCATTTAAGCACCCCACCTTCCCCACTCTTTCCCTTCGTTCCTTTAGGCTTTTGGGTAAAAAAGCTTTGGTGCAATCTAAGTCCAGTGTGAGAGTGTTCGTTCCGGCGTAGATGGGATGATAAATTAATACGAAACTACACCTCTTCCCTCAAAAATGACGAAGATGGACGGTAAATGCAAAATCTAGACCTCTTACCTCAAAAACTCAAGCCACCCTCCAGAAACAAGACTGCAAGGCCTAACTTCATCTGATCACTCTCTCACACTCCAGAAAGCAGCCCAAGCTGTCAGCAAAAGAATTTGAGGGGAATAAGGGGAGAAGCTGGGGTTCTTGCAAGAGCTTCTTTGAAATTCATAGGGACTTTTGAAGTGGAGTTAGTTGTTGTCATTTCGACATCTGTGCGTTATCACTCACTTCATCTCCAAACCTATGACGGATCCGTTTCAAAGTTGGAGATTCGTTTTTCGTTTCGTTGCCCGGATCCTCTGGTGGCGGTTTTGATTAATGGTGGGTGGTTGATGATTGATGATTGATGTAACCAGTTTCTCTGAGTTTTCCTACAGGGGATTGAAGTGTTTCAGTTTTTTTTTTTTTTTTTTTCTTTTTCGTCAAATTATGTTGGAAGTTCATCTAACCTGTTAATTTTGAAAATTTAATCCACTTAATATATTCATATAAATTTAGTAATTTTAATTTAAAACATTAATTCTGTCAATTCTTGACTATTAAAAGTATTAACATAATCGTTGGTTTATGATGTAAACGTTGATTTTATTAATATAATAATTTGATTGAATAAAATTAATTATTAAATTATGTAAATAATTTATATATTTATATGACTTTTAAAATTTAATTTTTTTAATATAATTTAATTAAAATTTCATTCTCGTACAAGTTGAATTTGATAGCATTAATTGAAGTGTAAATTACAATCCAATAAAAATTAAAAAAAAATCAAAAATAAAAATTGATTCGAAATTATAATGTTAGATTCAAACAATATTTTTTTATTTGATTTAGTTTAAATTCGGATATTATATATATATTTATATATATTTAGGTTCATATTGAATTTCATATCAAGAAGTAAAATAATGAAAAAAATCCAGACCGAATTATATATTTTTATTATTTTTATATAACAAAATATTATTTGATTTAAAAGAGTATATACTATTTATTAAATTTGTCTTTTTAACTACAATAAAAAACAACATTTTTATTAATAAAAGTACTAAAATATTTAGAAACAAATCTAAATGATATATTATATTTAATTTTTAGCTAGAAAATCATAAATGAATAAAAATGTAAAAGAGAAACACTAAAAATTTTGATAAAGCATCAATCGAAATTGTTTGATCGAGTATGAGACATTAAATTTTTTATTTTAAAATTAATTTATATTATTAACCTATCATATTATTATTTTTATCAATTATTCATGTGTTAAATAAATATATTATAAAAATATTAAATAAAAGATTATATGAATATAATGTATTATTTATGTGTCATAAAAAATAATATAGTAAAAAAATCTATTAGATAATATTAAATTTTACGAATCAAATATAAAAGTCTTATATTCTGTAAACCAAACATAAAATTCTTACATTCTTTAAAGTCAACAGGAATCACTTATTTTCTTTGACTATTGCTTTCTTTTGAAGTCACTTACCCTCATGATATGTATGTATCCACAAATCGAACGCCTTCTTAAGAAAATAAGATTAAAACTTCTCTTATTAAAGAATAAAAAATTTAAAATACATCATTTCGAAAAAACAACTAAATAATAGATAATAAATAATTGGATATCTAGTACCATTTGATCCATTTATATTAGATTCGTAATTAATAAACGGATTGTGGAGACTGACACTTAACCTACAAAATATTATTCGCTTTGACTTAAAGGTCTTATTATTTTATCTCACAAAAAATACTTTAAAAGTTTAGCTTTAAGTCTTAACTTATATATTTTAACAAATTTTTAGAATATTTTGATATGAGATTAGAGTGTTACAAACTCATTCCATTAAAACTTGAAATCACCATCAAACTCAACAAAAGCACATAGAGAACTATAGAACAAAATCACATTAGATATTGAGATTTTATAAGTGACTTCCATCATATAAGACTTAATTTTCTTCGGATTTTAGAGGTGGTTCTCACA